TTATGGCCAAGAGCATGGCAGAAATACAGAATAACAATATTTGCATTCCCCATCCTGAGCATGACACCAGAAGAAGATTGCTGCTGTAAAAATGTGAGTTTTTGGAGAATTTTCTTTTCAGAATCAAATATTACACTGAGCGCTGTTATAAGTATAATAGTATCTAAGCTGCTCAATCAGAGGCATGTGGTCAATCACATCGATCAGAGATTACATTTAAGAATTAATTATGAAGGTCCAAGGGGAAAAAAAAAAAAAAAAAAAAAAACATTTTCAACCAGCTGGTGCCCCCTATGATTTAAGAAGTAAAAACTCCTTCATTTAAATACACCTTTTTTTCTTTCTACAGCTCAAAGTAACCAGACCCGCCATGCATAAGGCCAGGTGTAACTGACTTTGAACATAAGTTCTGATTTTGGGTGATGTTTACTAATATTTTAGGTGTTACACCAGCTGAAATAGATGTTGGCTCGTACAGAGGCAAACAAGTGTAAGAGTTAGCACTGAAAAAATCCACAAAGAAGAAAGATTTTCTCTGATTGACTCTAGAATGAATAAACATCAAAGTAATGACAATATTTGGGTAAGTTTGGACGTTTCGGTCTACTGGTTAAGGTGAACTTTAGGTCCATGTGGTTCAGCCAAACGGTAACACAACTGAAGTTACAAACAAAGTTGTTTAAAGGTTTGGTTATGTGTGGATATTCACACAGAGCTGCTGCAACTGTGCTGCAGAACTGTACAATCAGGCAGACTGCTCTGTGACTGCTCCTGGTGTTAGATGGTGTTAATGCTCTGACATTTCTCACCTGTAAACAAACAGAGGGTAACAGCATCTGTGCACACATATACATGGCTTATACAGTGGTTTATGTAAATACACACACACACGACAAAGTCATTAGATACACTGTACATTAAGGGATACGTGGCAGCGGTGAGCACATTGTCTCAGCTGTTTTTCCGCTCTAACAACTGCAGGTCATTATTTGAGTCTGTGGGGTTTAAATTTGGATGCGGTTGGAAAAACAGTTCAAACCACTAATTAAGGCTGTCCGTCACCTCAGTATCATGGAGTGTATAAACTGCCACTGCGTCTACTCTGTAATCATCGCCCAACCTGGCTTCATGCCCCACTGCAACTCAATGGAAATAATGAGCAAAATTAGGGGATGCCCCTGCCAGTAATGATAATTAATGCACCATAAGAGGTGTGCTCTGATAGGTCCATGAAAAGGCCAACGCAAAGGTGGTCACACACAAACCACAAACACAAACACACTGAGGAGTGCCATGGTATGTTTAAAAAGAGGGTAAATTAAGGACAACACAACTTTAACATGCTGTAGGAGGCTGTCAGACAGTGAACCAGCTTCCAGAGAGAGGATAGATGCTGTAACATAGACCGTCTGTGTGCTCTTAGTGCGAAGAGGAACACTTTGCTTGAATAGTCTGATGTCAGCATGTTTGCCAAAGAAAGCAAACAGGTATGAGTCAGGAGAACAAATATTAGATCAACCTGCAAAGAAGCTGTTTCATAGTTTTACATTGACTGACTGCAGAGTAAAGGTGCAGATATTGAACTAGAACTGGCAGGTCTAATTCAATAGTACCAGTACTGTGGGGGTACAGTCTTCAAGTTTTTCTTATTTCCTCTATTGTCAAACTGTGCTTTTATTTTGAAGTATAAAACTTCTGCTGGACTTTCAATTACAGAACTGAGGGGAGGCAGTTAAAAGAACGGTTAGGAGGTCTAAATGATAAGTTTATTAGTGACCCTAAGAAGCAGCAGATGTGTTGTTTTTAGTTACTTTTTATTCTCAATTTTTTACAGTGCTCTAAATCATCTCCCAGACAGCTGCCACTGCTAGCTCGCTAGAAGCTGCTTTGCAAGAGTGTCAAAGCCTGAGTAACTGTGCGAGAGGAGGGGGTCCTACATGTCAAGCCAGTCAGTTTATATCAAACAAAGCTAAGGTTGACCACACTGTGAGAATCTATTTGGTTGAAACACTTTACTAAATAATCCAACCTCTACACTCACTGTCCTCTAAACAAGCTCTTTTTAATTAAAACAAGTTGTATCCTGTAGCTCAGGTAGCTGCATACCATCACTATCACTTTATTCTGAAATTTTCAGGTGAATGAATATCTGTCGGTGTGATGTTTCCTGTTGCCAGGAAATCTCCATGCTGTTTGGCTATCACAATACAAATGATTTGCTTGAACTCTGTTTTTTCCACTCTTACAAATAACCAAATAAAGTGAAATGAGTAGTGTGTTGAGCACATTGTGAATTTGTGTCACTTGTGCGCATGATTTGCTAACCTCTCCTCATTTGCGCTGCCTCAATTTGGTCATTAGCATCACCGCACGAGAACTCAGTTCTAATTGTGTCTTTACACTGACTCTACATGTACAAGCATGAATCATTTTAATCTGGTTCAGTGTGAATGCAACATTACTGTATGATTATTTTATCTAATTGAATCTTTTTTTTATTATTATTCAATTTTCTTTAAAAGAGTTGGACCATCTTTATCATTTTCATTAGAAGAAAGGCAGATTTATTAGTTTAACAAAATTAGCCTCATCCCCATGGCTCCAGGAAGTTTTTAAGGGTACTAATAATTGTTTATTTGCAGATTCACAGATACCAGTCACGCATGAAAGTGGAAAGTTACAGTTTCTTGAGTTGGTCTTTTCAGGGAATGATCTTATTTGCATTTATAAACAGGTGTTTTATTTACACACTAAGTAAAGAGAGGGAAAAACGGTAGCGGCATGAAAAAGAGAGAGTACAAGGGCAGTTTTTTCCTAAATTTTAAGATGGCCCTTTTACGTTTTCATTGCAGAGAAGTATATATATTAATAATATTATATATATATATATATATATATTTGGGATTGTCAATCAGATTTTAGAGGGCTATGCCACCCTAGTTTGCCCCTCTGAACATGCCTTTGTACATTGCACAAAATACAGTGCGGCAACCATTTTTGTATCATAGGACAGTTTGTTTTCTTCTTTTCTTTCAGTCATGTTATTGCATGAATGCACCTGTGTTACATGATTCGATGAGGATTTAATGAACATAAAGATACTTTCAGTCACACAGATGTAAGAAAGTACTATATGATGTATTTTGCAGATGATTTCACTCCTGTAACGTTTCTTTTGCTGCAAAGGTTCTTCAACTTCAGACAGGCATACAGATAGTTTTTTTCCATCAGGGTTAGCATGTTCAGATTACAGTTAGAGCTTGTATGCCCTCGATATGTGCAAAAGTTGACAGTTTAAGTGTTTCAAGAACTCTTTGCTGCTCTGTTTTTTATTTTGGTTGAACAGCTTTTGTGCAGCCACATCGCTCATGCCGACATGACAGGCCCGCGGCTCAAACTGTGGCTCCCTGATTAAAAAGGCCACAGCAGACAGACACAATTGTTACAGACAGGCTGTCAGCTGATGAGCTAACGCTGCCACAGAGAGACGTGAAGGAATGCTCCAGCTTTTGTAACCTGCCAATAACGGTTCATCTGAGGCCTGAGACAAATGCTACGAACCATCAGAGAGTTAGTTGGACAGCCTGTCGAAGATTTAACCGAGTGTGTGAAAGTTTGGGCTCATATCTGAGATTCTTTGGCAGTTTTCCTCCAAACGCAGAGTTATGACAACAACCTCCAATCAGTGTGGAAAAATCAAACAGGTATTCAGGTTCAGGTCCAATTTACAATATTTTAATGAGGAGGTCACTGAATGTATGAATATACAGAAAACTCAGACAAAAAAACAAAACATAAAAAAAAAAACAACGAAAAGAGGAAGACTTGGCTTCTTTTATGCACTTAAGGGGAAAAAAGTCAGAAAAATTTCCAGGATTAAGGTAAAAATAACAAGCAAGGAGTGGGAATTCAATTCAGTAGAAGTCAACAGTAACCCGTCTGCATTTCAGTGTCTGTAACCACTACACTCTTCTCTCATTTACGGCTGTCACAACATTGGATTATTTCCTCACAGTTATCATAGCCATGAAATATCTCAGTAACAACTTTAAAATAAAACTATACAACTAGTCAAACTGAGGAAATACAATGAACAGAAATGTCAAACTCCATTTCTGTTTGGGCTTCTAATCCCTGCATCGAAAAACTACTTTCTTATGACTTCATTCAAATAAAGTCATTATAAGAATTGAGTCATAAGAAAGTCAAGTGGCAATGACACATATTGTCATATTGATACAAAAATACAATGGTAGTGAATTCACAATATTACAAGAATGAAGTCATAATATTAGGAGAGTAAGGTGGTTTTGGTTCACAGTGAACAGCCAGCTGGATAAGTTGTACTTTATGTTATGGTGCATCACTGTTATAAATATCAGTATAATGTGGCTGATGTTTGACTGAATTAAAGACTTTATTTATGTAACATGATGACTTCAATCTTTAAAGAACAGGTATTGCGACTTAATCCTCATCTGTAAAACACTTTGCAAGTTATATTGTTTGATTCAATCTGATTTATGCTTACTTTATATCCTTATTTTGGATTATGTCAATTGTACGCTGTTGATTTCCCTTTAATGTGGCCCTTATACTCCGCCTCAAAGGGACAACTACTTGGTCTCATAAATTTCCAAAAAAATGATTATCTTTATTATCGTGATGATTATCTTTAACACTGATGTGATGGGTCAGCCTCCATCTCAACGGTGAATTTAAACTTTTTCAAGAAAAATCTAGACTTTTTTTCACATCTTTGACTCTAAAACCCTCTGCTACTATCCTCAGGGTTGCCGTATTATCATATCACTAATCAGATTTGTTTTATAAATATATTAATTATATGTATTTTTGTTAGCGTCTTCCTCACCTCAGATCTCAGTGCCCAGTCATGTCTCCTCACCATCAGCTGCTAACTGTGTAGGTGCGTGTGTATGTGAAGTTGTGTGTGTGGAAATGTATGTCTATGTTCACGGGTGTGTGTACGGGTATAATTGTGCGGGTGGGAGGTTTGGGGTTTTCTTGGGGATTTTAATGTTTCATTTTCTTTTTATGCTTTGTAAGGCACTTTGTGTTACAACTTTGTAGGAAAAGTGCCATATAAATGAAATAAAGTTGAAGTTGAAGTTTATGTAATTTTTCAGTTTATAAATTCATGAGTATTTTTTGAACTGAAGCTTTTCTGTTCTTGAGGCCAAACAGGTGGAGTGGAGATATGAAGGAGATAAATGACTGTGGTTAATATAAAGGACACTGCATGAGTTATGTTGAAGGAAGGTTTGCTTTGTTGTTATTCTGATTTCTTTTTCCTCTTATTCCTGTCTTTTAACTTACTTCATAGTATCTTATATCCTAGAAAATAAGCTTTCAGAAACCCCCAGAAACAAGAAACTCAGTCCTGATTTACATGGTTGCCTTCATTTCAGCATGTTTTAGGACAATACTTGGAGCAACATTTTGAAAAAAGTTCCCTGCGTTCATCGGGTTTGAGCGCGTAGAGATCTGTGTTCCCGGAAATGAATGTTTGTCCAGGAAATTAGTCCAAAATTTTCAAAGCAGCTGTTTTGTACTATTTGATTAATTATTTGGCCTCATACTGCAAGCTTTGTAGTCTGTGTGCCCAAATAAATCAAATTCATTCTAATAAGCAGCATAAGAGCAGCTGAATTAGAGGAGCAAAACATCAGGTCCATTCACGTTATGAAGAGGGCCGTATCTGAAAATAGAGCTTCATGGCATTTATTTTTCAAAACAGCCCTGACCTGACATGATACAGACTCCACTGGACCTCTGAAGGTGGACTGTGAGATCTGGCCTAAAATGAAGTCCTACAGTAGGGCCTGCATGAACCACTGTCCTGATGCTCAGTTGGACTGAGATCTGGAGAACCTTGGACTTGTGTTTCTTCAGGTTACCCTCTTCCATTGCTTTGTAGTCCACTTCTCAAGGGTCCATTGTAGATACTTCAGCAGTAAACCAGGCCAGCATTAAAAAGGCAGAACTATCAGGTCATTTTATGACTATAAAGTTGTGTAAAAAGTAACATAAGCTGTGTCTAACTGTATATTACACTGGAAATTAAGCTGGTGGTGTTTATGGACACAAGTATAAGATAAACAAGGATTTTTTTAGCTACAAGTCATGGGAAACTACTCTTTAGGTGTCCCAGGCTGAAATAATGAGTTTAAATGGGTGTACTTTACTGTTATTAAGCAGTTCTCGTAGCTCTTCAGTCAGCTCCTACACAGCCTTCACTCTCCATCTCCATCACAGGCTTTGAAAGCTCATGACCTTGATGCTAGGGGTGGGAGAAAACAAACTAACAGCAAAGTATTGCAATATTTTGTCTGGTGATACATTGTATCGTCTCATTTACCAAGTATCGGTTTTATCAAATTGTTAATATGAAGTCAAATCTATGATAATGGAGAAATAAAACTTATCGTTTGTCCAGTGAGGCGACATCATAGAGCAGGGCACCAATGAGATGGACCCAGCACATAAGGGTTGCATGGTGTGCCACATGAAAATAAAATTAGGTGTAACAAGACAAACATAAATGAAATACAAATGCTAAATTAGCTAAACAGTTAAAAAAATTGAATAGTTCGCTATATATTGTATCTCAATACTCACTGTATTGCAAAATGTTAAAGATCGCAATGATATCGTATCGTGGGGCCACTGGTGAGTCTCACCTCCACTTAATGCCCACTTACCCGTTTTTCTTCCTTGGATCACTTGAGTTAGATTTTGACCCTGGATGAGCTGGAAAATCCCACAAAAACTGCAGTTTTGAAAACACTCTGGTCCAGTCATCAAACTGTCACAGTTCGGCCCTCGCCAAGGTCACATTCGTACACTTGTCCATTTATCTCTGTCCAGTCCATCAGCTTTGAGGAGAACATGTTCTCTTGCTGCCGAACATAACACGTCTACTAACAGGAGCTGTTTTAATTTGATAATCAGTGATATTTACTTTGACATGTTTACATCTGGCTGATGTAATACTATACTTTAAGTACACTTTAATCCGTTTTTGGTAAGGGAACTGATGAGACCAGTTTCTGGAGTGTTGAAATGTGGTGTTTTCCCACTAATGCCTGATCTAGGATTTTAGCTCTTCTGCTCGGGGTCTTCTTTTGTAGCAGTTTAGCAGCTGGACTTTTCTCCTACAGTGCCATGCTGTTGGAATACGAGCAGGATATTGTTTGGGATTGTCTTCCTGACATGTTGTCAGTCTTTCCTGAAAGTATTGTCTTGACAGCATATTTCTCCAACACTTGTATATACTGTCCTGCAGAGATGGAGTCCGTCTCGTCATCCTCAGAGCTTCTGGAGGGTGTGCAGCCAGAGCGGGGTGGCCTGCTCAATCCTTCAAGCTGAGGATGTTGCATCCATTATTTCCAAAATCAAATTTTTATTCATTCGACTACAGAACGTTTTCCCCCTTTACCTAAGTACATATCAAGTTGGACAAGGTACTAGCATGACCACAAGGTGGGTTTGGTGTTATGCAGCACCACTTGAGGGCCTGAAGATTGTGCCAGTCCAAAACTGGTTTGCAGTTTTCAAATTAAAAACAGGGTTTATCTGATATGCGAACCATCAAGATGTGTTTCCATCAAGATTTGACACTGCGTCCAAACTTTTTTTGGAATCGTGGTTTTACTTAATGTGCCTCAGAGCCAACTGATGAAAGAATTATTCTTTCATTTTCCTGATAAACTGATACATGCTCTGTAATGGTGTGGTGAAAGCCTGAATGACGTTGATGGAAACATCTGGTTGTCTTTAATATCTTTAGATGCTTTTTTATTTTAATAACTGTGAATAAATGATCTACGGGTAGAATTGAGGTTTTTGAAAAGGCCCAATTCTGTCATGAAGCAGGTCTGCAGTGCATCATGTCAGTGTGACTTGAAACAGGTCTCAAACTTCCAGTAACTCTGTCCTTGTAAACACTGTGACGTTTCGGGGGAGAAAGGGGGAAACTTTCCCTGCTTGCAGTGGTGTGTAAAGATATCAGTGTGTGAGAAAAAGTCACAAAAGTAGGAATCAACATGAGGCAAAAAAACATTTGTTTATTTGGCCTAAAAGGGCCATAAATAAAATTTTATTCTCTCGATTTATTAACAAGCCACAGGAAGTCTGTGGCCGTCTACCACAGCACTTAAAACATCTCTTTCAGTCCACAAAGACTTGAGACCCATGTGAGACTCTCTGAGCCGCTCAGACATCTGAAGGCTCCCTCCTTCCTTCCTTCCTTCCTTCCTTCCTTAGAAAAATAAAACAAAACATGGTAATACTGTACCAAACTGGAGGCAGAGCAGCGGGGGGATCCTTTTCACGCAGAGAGGGGGTGGGGTGGGGGGCTTCAGAAGGACTGTGAGCGTGGTTGGGGAAGCTTGAATCAAACAGCAACAACAACAATAATAAACTAGGAAAAACCCTCAAACTCTTTTTTTTTGTTTGTGTTTTTTTTTTTCTGTTTTTTTTTTTTTGCAAAGCTGAAGCTGAATGTACTTGGCTTTCAACCACTGCAGGACCACCTCTGCTTCTCCATCGACTCCTCCTCCTCCCCTTGCTTTTTTTTTATTCCCTCCATCAGTCCATCCTCTCCTCCTCTTTCCCTCCAATGTGTTTGCTTGAAATAAAAGTGAAATAATATTTATAATGATAAAACCTATAGCAGCAAAAGAGTAACAGAGGAATAACAGCTAGAAGCGAGTGACCCCTGGATTTAAAGGAAGGCATGGGTTAAGAGAGGTCCATGGATTTGAGCCCCGGGTCGGGCCTGTGATCAGGGGGAGCGTCATCCCTCTGAGCTCATCTTCCCTCGGTGGGGACCCTGCACACGGCGGCCATGACGCGGCTGAAGCGCTCACACAGCTCCAGGGTGGAGTAGGTGGGCACCTTGGGGGGGTCGTGGAAGCCTTTGATCTCTGTTGAGCAGTCCAGTAACTTTGGGAGGAAGTCAGTCAGCTTCTCCTGGAGGTTTGCTGTCGACAGAAAAACAGAGACATCTTCATTGATTAACTGTTGAGACTAAATCACAGTGTAAATATTGTTCATGTGATATCACAACAGTTCAAAAACATGTTCCAGAGCAGACTGAGATAGTAAAACTCCAGTGAGCAGAGGGTCTGGGTGATAAAACTCAAAGCAGACCCTCTCTGAGAACTGATACCAGAAACGTGCTGATAGAAGCTGAAGCATCCTCCTCTTTATTTTTCTACCAGGAAATTATCTGAAGGTTCAACCTCTGATCGGTCTTTACTGCAATCTGAAATAAACCGTGTGTTATGTAGGGCTGCAGCTAATTGTCATCTGTTTATCTGCTGGCACCTGCACTTCCTGTGAGCAACTCACTGTTTGCTGATAGATTTCCAGGATCCTCAAAAAGATCAAGCGATTAACTCAGAATCATGACCTTGATGATGAGATTTAGATCATTAGCATCTACCCACACACTTTGCCGTAAACATCAGATTTTTGGTGAGCTAAGATACATTTATAACCAACGATACATCAACATAAGTGCTACTGAAGTATTCAGCTGATCAACCATCAGCTTGATCCACCTTTTCTCTACCAAAAGCAGTCATCAGGACTATGAATGGGCATTTTAAGACAGTCCCTCGATCGATTAATCATATAAATGAATGATCAATCATCGATTCGATCGCCTCTCTTTATGCAAATGGCAGAAAATACACAAAAATGTGTTATTCCTCATTGAAATACCCCCCTCAACTGTTGTTAAGCACTGCCCGCTACATGCTCACTCATGCACACCGTAATAACTGTTTTTTTCTCATTTATGAAACGCTAAAATTGGGGACATTTCCAGGGACAACTTCAGCTGTGGACAGGTCATCCAAAACAGGGACTGTCCCCCTGAAATAGGGGATGTCTGGTCACCCTACAGATCCTCTTTACTGGCTGATGGAAGGTTGAGACTGAGAGGGCTCGGAGGATTCATTAACCTCAGTGAAATGTATGTGGTTCAGTTGGTCCATCATTGGGGTCGTTGTCGTGTTGACGCTGTATCACCTTGTAAAATGTCAAAATCTTTCCGCACAGTGATAGTCGCTGCATTTCTTCAACACACACATGGACTGGACAATGAGGGTAACCCTCCCGATCAGCAGAGATTGATCTTTGCTGAAAAGCAGCTGGAGGATGGACGCACGCTGTCAGCCCTTTTTTTTTAATAGCGTTATATCAATTGAAATTTTGCATGATCGGCGCAATTCTTTATGATTAATTGATTGATCATTGATTAATTGTGCCCTTTCTTAATCAGGGCTTAATCTTTTAGGCACAAAAACAACTGCTGTCTTCCTCTCGATCCTCCAGCCTGTGCATTCTGTGCAGCCACTCACTTCGTATAAAAATGTTTGTCACTGGTCAAACAGGACAGTGAACGGACAAAAAAAAAACGAAAAGAGAAAAAAAAGAACGACGACAGGTGGGCAAGAGACCTGGAGCTGGACTTTAACTGAGGCCACCCGGGATGAGAACAACAGCCCAGAAGTGATGATTGATTGGCTGTTTATCTACTCATCGATAAGTCAACTTGTTTTATTGATGCCGTTTGACAGTGATGTCACCTGATCTTTATACCAGCTAGTCCAGAGCTGTAGACTCTTGGCTGTGAGCTTCACATCCCTGCATAAAAGCTGACGCCCACAGAAAATACAGACAGAAAACACACTCCTGCAGACACAGGAACACACACCTCTGTTGGATTGAGAGTGATAATACAGAGGAAATATGAGTTTAGATTGTTTTTTTTATGACCATCTTATTTTGCTTTTGATTACTGGAGCTCTGAATTCATCTAACTTTTAAGCTTGTCTCAGTGTGCTTCTCTAAATAAGACACTAAGTAAGAATTGTTGAATCATCCTCAGGACAAATGGAAAACACCTCAGTAGCTCGAATCCGTCCTGATGTGCGAGCTGAGCAGTGGCCTGATTCTGCTGATCTTTGGCAGGGGTTCAGGGGAATGTGCTAGTAACCTCCGACTTCAACTCTCCAGAAATATCTGACAGGGCGAGCGTGCTGCCACTCTCTCGGGGACTTACACTCCATCTCCTGGCCCAGGTAGGAGCACCAGCGGTTCCTCATGTCCTCCACAGCCAGCAGGTCCCTCTCTGTGTCGTGGACCAGCAGAAGAGGGATGCAGGGGACCACCAGCTCGTTCATGATGCCCAAGCCTGTCGTCACCTCCGGCTCCTCTCCTGTCTCAAACATGGCCGCTGCTTGCTCATTTAGTTTCTGTGGGGAGGAAAGGGACACAAGGAATCTTAACATTTAGGTTAACTAGCTTTTAATACAATAATTTACTGACTTTGACTCCCTGTTTTTTCAGATACAAGTTCATAAGACCCTCAGAGAAGTCTGGGGTAACCGCCTCCTCTGATTTTATCCATCATGAATAAATAACTAATAATAAAGCATTTGGACCTCCAAGAGAAAACATTCCTCTCATACTTCACTCTGTGTGTGAAAAGAGTGGGAGGAAAAAGTGACCAAGCAACAGGGATGCTGCAGCTTTGAGTGGACTGTGAAAAAAGCTGATTCAAGTCCAAAGTCAACGCAGCCGCTGACCAGGAGACTTCAGAGCACTTTAAACCCTCCATCTACAGACAAGCTTCATGGGAATGCTCATTTCCAGCACCTGCTCACAACGCCAGAACTACTACCTGTGCTTGATCGACCTGTGAACTCACCTGACCTGAACCCCATAGAGAATCTGTGGGGTCCTGTCAAGTGAAAGATGAGAAACACCCCAAAATACAGAGCAGAAGGAGGCCATTATCAAAACAACCTGGGCTTCAATTAACACCTCAGCAGTGATGCAGGGTGATTGCCTTCTTATCATACTCCACATTCATGCAGTAATGCATTCTGATGAAGCCCCCACCAAGTTCTGTGTGTCGAAATAAAAATACTTTTAAAAGTCAGCGTTTTAAATCCTGTTTTGATTGATCTTCGAGAATGAACTCACAATGTGAGAAACTGGGTTTCTAGATTTCATGAGCTATGAGCCAAAATCATCAAAGTGCCAGACAAAAAATAGGTTTACAATATTTCAAATAAAGTTCCTCTAAGTAACATTTGGTTCATATGAGTTTTGGCGCCCCCCGTGGACAAAGTAGTCTTTGCCTATATTGTCCTCCACATGTTTAGATTAGTGTTTGGAAAAAATACTGAACACAGGACATGTAAAGTAAGTGCATTTTCTTTAGCAGCTCATTAACTTGTAGAAGTTTCAGGCATTAAAAATTAGGGCTGAAATGATTCCTTGAGTATCTCGATTACAATAAATGAACGAGGAATTTTCTCTACCTCAAGTATTCGTTTAGAAGCTCAAATCGCCACTGTTTTGCACAGGTTATTTTCAAGGTGACACAACACGCTTACATAACCAAGGTAGAAGGAGGAGTAAACGCGGTTTTGGTTTTGCAGAGCAGAAAAATTCAATGATGAAAGGGGCCTTTCCTCTGCAGAGCTCTAGTAGATCATTAGCAGTTAGCCTCTGAGTCATGGGCGGAGACAGCGCTGCTCTGCACACTCCTCTCCATGCTAGCTTGCAGCCTAACATTGCCGGTGTAGTAGCAGAAACACAGGAGCTTTTCAGCTCTTGGACACAAATGTCTTTAGGGGCATGATAAAAGCTATTTAGCTTTCTTAGGAGCATTGCAATCTGCTGCAATATATGTTTTATCCAATTACTCGACTAATCAATGGAGTATTCAGTAGAATACTCGATTACTAAAGTACTCGATAGCTGCATCCCTTTAAAAAAAAACTGTATGAAAGTTGTCAGTCTTGTCACTGATCATCATTTGTATGAATTTCAGTCTGTTGAATAAATGTCGAAATTTTCTTAACAGAAACTTCAACATCCAGTGAGTTCAGAACATTTAATTGTTTGAGTTTTAGTTTAAATCTGAAAAGTTCATAAAATATTAATTGGTAGAGGTACATCTGTAAAATTATGATTGCCAAGAATTTCGTCGACTGAGTCCTGAAAAGAAGTTTACATACTTGTCACTGTTTAAGACCCATTAAAAGTGGTTCGGCTGTTCTTTACTGGATCACTCGGATACTGAAGAGTAAAACACGATGACTGTCAGAGGCACTTTTTTCAAATGATTGGTAAGGGGACTTTTGGGCAGTTGTTCACACTCTGTTGATATCATCAGGAAGTGTGACTCAGCCTTAATCTAAGAAGACTGTCTATGAGTAAGATTTGAGGCATGACTGGCTGAATTTTGTCTGGATCTGCTGCTGACTATGTTTAAAGTGCGGTAAATGAGCACTTGCATCTAACTCAGTCCTGTTTAGAACAGAGGCAGCGACCTTTTCATTTCAGCTCATGCTGTAAAATTTCCTTTGCCAAGTCCCCCCACAGAGACAGCTCACAGTAAAACCTTCTGTCTCCAGCAGCCTGACGCTGCTCTGTTTTTTTTTTTTTTTTAAACCACCACTTATTCTATAACTTTTGATACTGCTGTTATCTTATGCAAATGTTTTGACTCAAACAAGATTTCAAAGTGTTTTCAATTTGACACCATCAGTCATTTCCCTTCTCTTGTTCTTTCTGGTGAGGGTTTCAATCTGTTTTAATAGATAAGTACCAGACAGCTAAAGCACTCGCAGTAATCCAGAAACAGACATCATTAATATCAGTAAATCTCCTGCAGCCAGAGGAGCTAAAGTGGGTCCTGATGTTCCTGCCTGCATGTGGATTCAGGCTTTTCTTTCTCTTCTTGGCTAAAACCACCTCGCTGTCACAGACAAACTCCCTGACCTCCTCTCTGAGGAAACGACCCGATTTTCTCAGAGCCAGTTTGGAATCAAGGGACTGCGGGGCTGGAGTTTGCAAAACATCCAAGTACATTAACTGTGTCAATGTTAGCCGTGTTTTCAATTAAAACAAGAGCTGAAGGTAAACAGCTGAGCGGACGCAGCCAGAGGTTCTGGCCCGAGATCTGAGCTGACCGATCAGGCCGTGCAGAGTCGAGGTCTGAGGTTAGCCGAGGACACACTTGTGTCTCATGGTAATGTGTTTACACTCGCTGGCCCTCCTGCTTCCTATTCCCACTCCAGTGATTACATTATGAGCACAATGCGAGTGTAAGGTTACTGAGTGCAGCAGCGAGAGGGCTGCTAAACACCAGTATGAGGCTGATCGCACCAAAATACCCTCAGCCCCAACCAATAATACCAGAGCACAGCCTGCAGCCTGGAGGGGAGAAATGAAAAGGGGCTCACATCACGACGCTGAGAGGATTTTCATCTGTCAGTATCAGATGAAAAACCTTCAGCGGAATCTTTTGCGGGCTGTGAGCGAGCCAAAGCAATATCTCAGCGAAAGCAATTTGATTATAGGAGCACGGCGGCACGGTATTGCGGTATTGAAGGGGAAATGTCCGACGGTGTTAGTTTTGCTGAGTCACTTTAGCAGAGGAAGTTTGACACAGAGGCAAGGGAGTGACAAAGACGAGACGCAGATTACAAGGAGAAAAGTGACAGAGTAGGGCGGCAGATGATAAGATAGTCAGACATCAATTAATCTGCTGATTCGGTGTCTGGTTTAGTTTTTTAACTCCACAGCTGAAAAAAAAAAGAGGATTTAAAGTATCGATTCAAGTGTCTTAAAATAGGAAATACTCAGTTTACCAAAATTTAAAAACAGACAGAGGCATTAAAACTCAATCTCTGAATGTCTTCAATCAACTGTTTCTGAGATCAACACTAAACACGACTAATCTTTACAAAATTAAGAGATCATGGGGATTTCTTATCATCGTCTGTTTATGTTTTATTGTCGTAGATTTTATAAAAGCCCTTTAATAGAGGTTTTTCCTTCCTCACCCATTCATGTAATTGAGTTATGAAGTATTGGAATTAACATTTCCACTCCATCTCAATGACTGTGTGTGTGTGTTTCCTCACCAGCAGACACTCTCGTCTGTAATAACTGAGCAGCTCCTCGTCGTGCCCTCTGTACAGCCCTTTCAACAGAAGCTCCTTGTTGTACTGGTAGGAGTAAACTAGATACATCAGCGCCTCCACGTAACTGCAAAGAAAGAGACGAGCAGATGTGACATTCAGATAAAATAGTATCAAAGTTGCAGTGAGAGTTAAAAGAGTGAACTCTTCGAGAGAGGAAATAAACTCGTTGAACTCTCCGCACTCCTAACTTTGAAAAGCTGGAGGGAGCACACACTGTGAGCTGCTGCCCTCTGCAGGCAATGCTGAGTAACAGACAGGCAGCTAGAAAATCAAGAGTCATTATGTGCGGTCCATTTCCGCAGAGTCCAAAATTGTGAACCTAAACCTAAACAGACCTCCGAGACGTGAGCCAGAATGTAATTAGAGCAGATTTTGTTCTATATAAGACAGACAAATACCTCATTTATTTACAGCTGCCTGAGATTTGACAGAACACTCAAAGAAGAAATCAGACCCCGAGGTCCACAGCCAACAATCCATGTTATAATTACACAAAAATGCATCACTGTTAGAAACATTTCTCATATATTCAATAAAATAGTTTTCCACCTGTACAGCTGATCATTACTCCAACTTTTTAATTCAAACTGATTTCGTTTGTGAGCCGCTGAGATTTGTCTGTTTTAACTGACTGGACCTGTAAATGTTTCTATCTACCAAATTCAATAATTTACAGACTCCATCCTATTGACCCAAACCAATGAAAAGAAGGCCCAGATAGAAGGGGTGTTACTGGTAACTGTGATTGATGGCTGTAAATTAACAGGCTGTTATAATATCACAATTCTACCTCAATAATGTTGTGGCCGTTAAATCAGTCATAATAGTATCACCAGAGTATTTTTGGAAAACTCATATTAAATGAAAGCAAGATAAAGGTGAGGTGACTTATTACTTCATTAACTTTTTAATCAACGCAACTTACTAACTTACATGTTATCCTACCTTTCCAACGATGTTCAAAGTTGTGTTTTCTATATTTCACCAGCTGACTACTAGAGAAGAGACTGCCTATAAAAACATAATTCAAGGTGTTTTTTTTTCCTTGACATTTTTACTCCCTTTATTACGTGTGTTTTATTTTCAGGGTTGTAAAAGCAGGCTTTTATATTGAAAAGCAGTATACACCACTCCTGGTTGATTGAGAGTAACAGACATGAATAGAAACAGCTGAATAAACTTTTGGAGAGAAGGGTTACCCTAAAGAAGAGCAAGTTCTTACATTGTTTAAGGATCCCTCAAAGACCTTGGACTTGAGTTTTTGAAGTGTTGGGCTGTTTTTTTCTGAGGGCTACTACAGCTAGCTAACTAACTAGCAGCTGCTGCAGCTTCTTATGTTTTCCCTATGCTTTCTAGTAGCTGGCAACCACTGTTTATCTACGATTCAGATAAACAGAGCTGGGACCTAACCGTGCTCACAATGACCATGTTAAAACTTCACCACATTAACACCTGTAATGTACAATGATTAAGTCATACGAGTTGAATCTTCAGCAACAAAACTGAAGAAAGAAAACTTTCTCAGATGTTTGCGGGTATCACCGTACTTTGTCTTTTGAAAGAGCTCCAGGCCCGTCATCATGAAGATGGTCGTTTCTCGGAAGTTCCTGTACGCCTGATGCCACATCTGTTCCAGAAAAAATACACAAGTTTAAGTGAGGAAGCTCCCTTCGATTCAAAATCTTGAAAAAAGAAATCAGCATTCATAAGAATCAACGACAATGTGCATGAGAAGAAGACTCATATCTTCTCCTTGAGATGAATAAGACTAGCTGCTGACCTCATATTCGTCCATGTTGACCTCCTCGGGCTTAATTAGGTCCAGTTTGGCACGTGCCACATTCATAATGCTCTTACATCTGTGGGTGGAAAGGAAGGAGGGAGGAAGAGGAGACAGGAAGAGGACCAGGCGTTAGCGAGGAGATGGTGAGTCATTGTGAGGTACTCCAGGAGATGAAACAGTCCACCCTGCCCCGCGGTCTCAGCGTGGCCTAATGAATCACTCTTTAGTGCTGAGAGGAGAAGTGAAACACTCCTCCCGAGGCTCCTATTGAGGCCACATGCACACATAAATCTAATTATCTCGCTCAAAATAGAGGAGAAGGCAGAAATCAATTCTTCACTCATGAATATGGATTGAGGCCAACAAGCGTAGCTGAAAACTTTTAACAGATAGTAAGAGGGAACATACACCCTGACGGCAAATGCATCAAAATGTTAGAGGACAGGGAATCTCCATATTTTTATTAAAGAACGTCATTAATTAGCAAAAATGTGACTTAAAAGGCTTGTGTTTGAACAAAAGACAGAGGGAACAATACAGAGAATCAGTACGCACTGTCCAGAGGAGACAGACGGGGTTGACAGTACAGACGTTTGTCCTGTGTATGTGTGAGTGTGTGTCTAAGTGAAGGTCTCTGCTGCCCTCTGTTGGTCTTTTTGGAACTTGATTTTAAGGTGAATGATGCGAGATAATTTTCTGAAGTTACTGAATTTAAGAAAATCACAAACAAAAAGGAAATGAGCTTGAATGTAGAGAGAATGTCAATGCAGCTCGCCTGTGTCAGCTTTTTTCCTTCAGTCCAAATAAGAATACAACGTCTGACAGAAACATACATAAAGGTTTGCAGCAGGTATGATTAATGCAATCAGAAAAAAGATAAAATAATGACTTTTGTTGATGTGTGCACACATGTACTTCATACCACCACTGCAAACCCCAAGTGCCCCCTGTTAGACCATTCCAGCCTAGAGTTAGCTGTTAAGGAAGTCAAAACTTTCAGATATTATCTACAGCTTTTTGATCAAACATTGTGCTGGACTACAGAGTCTGTATTACAGATAAGTTCACAGTTACAGACTACTCTGTACAGATCTGCTTGACCACCCATGATCAACTGCACCACTAGTTCTGATAAACTTGACGGGGTTTAAAAAGGTTTCTCCAGGTGACCAGAGCACAGTCTAACACACCTCTCATCAAAGGCCAGGTTCCTGTCAGCAAACTGTGTGAGCAGAGTTCTCTCCAGGATCTTCTTAGGCGCCTGGTTCTGGATGAAGTACACGATGATGTGCTGGAGTCGGTAGTCGTTCTCAGGTGGCGTGTCTTCCTGGGCGAACCTCAGGAGACGAGCGTACTCCAACTTTATGGCCTGACAGGGGAGACAAACACGTGGATGAAAGGTTCAACAGTGACTCAAGTTAAGGTGGAACAGACTTTCTCAGGTGTCAAGACAAGGAAATTATCAGACACAAGTCATACATATCAATATACCTTTCCACTTTCACCACATCAATATTTTTGCCAACTTAAATAAAAAAAGTATATATATTAACACAATCATGAACCTTTTGTTTTGGGCTTATATTGCTTCAAAACTGTCCCAGTAATCTGTAAATGGTGTCATCGACTTGATAGAAAGTTTAAACATTTATGGAAGCCTGGTACGCAAGTTGAATCCATATTATAGGACTTTGCATGTTTTATGCTGCCAGGACTATGTGATCAAAAAACAATGGGTGTAAAGTAGCTGTTTCTGGTCCCTATGAGCTGAATATGGGTATTTTGATTATGCAACTCATTATGAGTGTATTATGACAGACAGGAACATACCGATTTCTGCCACATTTTTACTGATACACAACAAAAAAGTACAAGAATAGAAAGAGAATACTGCAGGTTAAAATATAAACACCCACTGAGCGCCAAATGGGAGCACACTTTCTGTTAGTGAGTTCATTTCAGATAAAAAAATGGTAAATATTTGTATCAAAGTAGTCACTAGTGTCAAACTAACTATGCTGAGCTCTCACTGGATTTTGGAGTAGCTGCAGCTCCTCACTGTCCCGCTCCTCTGCTGCTGGAATCACAGAGTTTGTCTGACACCCACACAAACACGTGCACACGAACGTGCACACAGGAACACCGCACAACTCTGTTTACTACACTGGCTTTCAGCTACTTGCTTTAACAAGGTTTTCAGGATCACTACTCCATGACAGGGTGAAAAACTGAAGGCTTGTTTTAGTTTCATATCAACTGGTTCTTAGCGGTCACACACATTCACCTGGTCTCAGTTTCACATAACTTTTCCTATAGCTGTGTATGTTTTGTAATAGTAGTCAGTAGTCACCATACGGAGTGTTTTTCTTTCTTACTGTGCTGTATGAAGGTGAACAGAAGAAGACAAACAGTTTCACATAAAGGAAAAGGTGAATGAAGGTGGAGGAGACGAGATAGTGTGAAAGAAGAGGAAGTCAAGTAGAGATGATGGTGTGTACCTTAAAGAAAGCCGCCTCAGGCCCACTCTTTTCATACACGGCGCCGCACTTGCCAATAGCCATAATTACACCCTGCATGTTGGGGGTCATCATCGTCTGCCCAAAGAGCAGGAACCACGTTAAATAACAACAACAACAAAACACACACGTCTTTATCACAAACCGAGCAGGTCAACCTCTATGTTACGTGCTCTGAGACACCACTACCAAGCACCACAGAGTCAGGCCAGACATCAGTCAGCAGTCCATGCAGTGGTTAGAGTGACACAGTGGAGACACAGCCAGTCAGCTCAGTGGCACCATGTGCATTCCTCACAAGGCTAATGTGTGAAAATCAGACAGCCATATAACAGCTGTGCGTGACAGACAGCCAACAGTGCACAAACAGGCTGGAGCAGAGACAACAGCAACGCTACAATCAGAGCACACTGAAAACAAGCTAACACTGCTGAGAGCCAGCTGATAAAAAGACAAGAATCACGGTTTCAACATGAAATCTCAAACTGAGAATATCACCCTCTATAGTGGCACAGGCTCAGCTTCAAACTGGATTTTAAATGTTCTAACTACTTCCTTTTTGTCATTTGTAAAAGTTAAATCAGCAATTCAAGCAATCAGACACAGAGAGGTGCCAGCTTAGCTAGATGATGTGGTGTAGTGTATAAAAGTAGGAGGATCAAGCAACGGGCAGATCCCAGACTTAAGACAGATTCTTTTGTGCTATACAATAACAGCGCTCTTCTCCTCTTTTTTTCCCAATTGGTGCATTTCCTGCAAATTACTCACTACAAAAGCATGTGTGTGTTAACTAGTAAGTCTGCTCTGTGCTACGGTGAAACGTGACAAGATGGCATCCTGGAAAGAGGATGGCTGTATGCAAGGGAGCCGTTTGTCCAAAAAGCTACATAGGAAGAACACAATCTGCCACTGTCTCAAAACTAGAGACAGCTTTCCCAAACTTCCTGCTTTTTGAGTGTTTTATCTACATTCCATAACAGGTTTAGTTTCTACATGACGTTATCAAATTAGTAGTATTACATGCAGCTCTACAGTTACAGCCTGGCAAAAGGATCATGCTGCATATGCTGTGGCTGTCTGATAGACAATGGTCACTGTCAAGCTTGAAATGATTCCACTCTGCTTAGTTTTTAAGTCTCATTTTTCTTTATTTTCTTTATCTTTGAGAGGATTAGACAGCAGACAAAGCAGGAGAGAGGCTGAAAGAGTGGGCAGTGATGAGGGACAGCACCAAGCTTGATCCGATTGCTTAACTTCAATCAGTTAAAACAACCTAAACCGGCTGATCTCATAGTGAATCTGACCGTTAGCTCCCAACTTTGTTTTGGTCTTATTTTCTAGTTTCTGGTTCTGTGCCGGTTTGTTTTGGAGAGGAGAGGAGACCTCTGAGAGAAAGCCCTAATAAACATGAAAGCTCTTCTACAGATTTGGCTTTTACACACTGACATCCTGCTTTGCTCTCTGAAGAATGAAACAGCAGAAAATGGCCCACAAATTAAAACAGCAGAATCTATTAAATGAGGTCATTTCTCGGCTGATAATTCAACTTTACATGGCAGCCTCCTATTGTACGCAGATAAACCTCAGTATCAAACAGACAATGTATTCAAATACACCAGTCTCTCCTCTTGACCGTCTGGCGTGAAAAAAACAAATCTAACCTTTTTGCTAAAGGTCAACCAGTCTCAGCGCCAAGATGCAGACTGGCTTAAAGTGAGACTTTTCACACAAGAGTAAAACAGGAAGGCAATCAAACAAGTCAGTGAAATTCTGCAGGAGTCAAAGCCAGCCCTGGAATCAGTTAGCATATGGAGTCAGATTTTCTCAGGTGTGAAAATCCTCGAGTGAAGTGTGCTCTCATTCTGTTTGTCTAACAGGCACAGACTTCTCAGCACGACAAAGACGAGAGGGTTTGTTTGTCGGAGCTACCTCGTCATCATACCCCCCCTCCTCTGACTCAATGACAAACGTCCCAACGTTGGGAATGGCCACCTCTACCGTGCGCTGGACGGGGGACTCATCCTCTGTGACCAGCTCAGGAGGAGGAGTGGAGGGGGGGCTCACCTGGACCTCAGGTTTAGGGAGGGAAGGAGGGGGGAGAGACTGTAGAGAGAATGGGAAAGATGAAAACAGGAAGAGGAGAGTACTGATGTAGTGAGGAGGGATAAATGTAGAGGACAGACACGTGGTGAAATACAAACTGATTAAATCAACTCTTCACATTCAAACATCATGAGATTTTCTGTGGATGTTCAGGAAGCCTCTCATTTGACACACTTTTCAAAACCAGGAGTGCACAAGAAGAACTTCAAATCCTTGTTCAGCCTCATTGTGCACTGTTGTGAACACAATACTGGAGTTTATCATAAAAGAGGGATTAAAGCTTCACATTTATTCAAGCATGGCTCAGACAAAAGTCATATTCCCGTATGTATAATCAAACATTTTTTTTAATTATTCCCCCTCTACATGCTGGCCGTGAAAAGCTCCCCTCTGAATGCAATTTGAATGCAACAATAGGGGATGAAATCAAACATTTTCTTTTGTGCAGAAATGTGAGTTTTAGGCGAAGCCAATAAGAGGCAGGTGGAGTTGTCGAGTGGGTATTCGCAATAAGAACCAGCAGCTCTTTACTCTGTAAAATGCAGATTTTCCTCTCGCTCTGGTGTGTGCGCGTGTATGTGTGTGTATGTGTGTGTTGTGAGTTGGTGTTTTTATTTTACATACAGCGTTTAACAGAGCTTCAGGACTCCTCTCCTCCTGTTCAGCAGCAGCTCTGGAGATTGCCCTCTCGGTGTCCTCCTGCAGGTGTTTGGAGTCATTTGTGGGGGATGGCTGCTCCATGTACTCCGGGTCCTGCTGGGGAGCTGCAAAAGGACAACAACATATCAAAAATAATAAATAAAGCAACAGTACTTCACGCTCCAAAACACAAAAAACATTGCACAAGTATCCAGAGACAAACACTGAGGATTACTCATAAAAACCTCCAATTTTGGACTTCTCTCTTAAATTGTAGTTTAGGTTGCAGCATTGTCTCCTCATTGTAGACTATATTAAAGGCACTGATGCAGCCAAAGAGTCAGGAAAATGTTGCTAATGCAGAAGTGCTTGAAACTTTTTCTGCAGTGAAACACTGAACTGGTTGCACAAAGTCTAATTTTCAAAGACGTTCTTAAGATTATTGATCTGCTTTCACTTGGTTTATTATGTTAGTCACAGAAACTCATGAGTTTATGTTAATTTCTTGTTCACAAAGTCTCATTTAAAGGAAATACTTTTTTTTTCTCACCTATAAATATAAACTAAAGTAATCCAACCCAGTAGCAACTCTAAAAACCAATATTTGCACAATTATCATGTAGCGTGGGCTTTACTAGGTAAACATATCTTCAGTGAGGCTCCTGTTAGCTCCTGTGGTGATGTCACAACAGGAGACTTGTATGGGCATGTATGAAAAACCACTCCCAGTCCTTTTTTTCTCTACTGTGGTTTACTCTACTGGTGTTGAAGGGTTAAGAGGTCAAGGGTCAGCCCCAGACACACCAGCTGCTCTGGTGTTGGTTGCCAAAAAGAAAAGACACAAATGTCTACAATCTCTCTCAGCAGCAGAGGACGAAAGAAAACAGTGGTTATTTTTTATATCAACAACCACAACGGCAACAGTTGACACCCTGTCTTTTGTGTGAGTCACCTGCTTCACTTCGGACTGTTTAATAATAAGAGTCACTAAAACACTGGGCTAACTTCAACACTGACCCCATGACGGATCTTTGCCAACAAATTATGACCCAACAACATCAGACGTGCCATCAACATTCTGTGTTATCATTTTTACGGTTCATTATAAGGAAGATTTGTCTTGGTTCTGGCATGGGCTCTTCTGCATCACTTATAACGTTTGCTTTGGTCTTTTTCCACCTCTGCATCCATCTACATTAGTCTTCACCTTCTCCCCTTAGACATCATTCAAGACAAAAGACTATCATACGAGGCTGAATTTTTGATGGTATGGAATTTCAAACACTGCTTCATAAACAACTCAGACTTTTTGTAAACAGCTCTAAATACCATCATATAGGACCTGTGAGTTTTCTTCAAAATAATGCAATATTAATTTAAAACATCATGGTCCTTTTTATCCATTTACTGTAGGAGATAATCCTGGGTGTGCTTCAGGGGTGGCTTTAAGTGATTGACAGGTCATTCTGAAGCTACCTGAGTGGCATCTGGCTGAACTAAAATACTCTCTGAGGAGTTGTCTATTCATATTTTAGGTAAGTGCTCTTTGTTTAGACTGAGGACTCAAAGGAGCTGGTTTTAATACAGACTAAAATCAATATTTGCGCCTCTTTGTGTGCAACAAAGGGAACCAAGCCATCAGGAGAAAGACTTTAGTGAAACCACTGCAACAGGATTGGTGTAAGAGCCATTAACGGCACGCTGCAGAGGCTGACTTCTTTGACATTCTTATACTGAAGACTCTTTATGAAAATTTAATGAAGCAGGATGACATTTTTGAATAGAAAATTGTTGTTTCCACATGAGCAGGACAAAATCTACAAAGAGTTGAGATGTACTACTTTATCCAAATGAAGTGCCTCAGACTGAGATCATTTCAAAGCTTCCTTTAAACAAGTACCTTTACATTTTATTCTCTGCCGCCAATAAGAGCCGTTACTGAAATCATCAAAACCATTGATAAATTATCTATTTGCTAACTAAGCCAGTAGACTGTTTGGTGTGTGCTAACCCCACCATACACTTGAGCTGCTGCTACACAGCAAATATGGACACTTCTGACTAGAGAAGAAAACAGGCTGCATGCTAAAGATCAAGGTGTCAAACTGTCACATTAAATTGGCTGAATCACACTTTGATAAAATGATCGTTTGATTTCTAACTCATCATACTGTGTGTCTGTAATTGATTAAAATACATTATAGGCTATATCCTGAACATCTCTCTTACTGTGATATACAGTAACTGATGTCAAACACAGCTGGAGTTGTGAGGCTGTGCGCCGATATTTCAAGGTCATTTCCTCATTCTTTTTTACCCTCTAGGGAACAAGAGTTTTCTGTATTTATCTTCCCACCCACTATTGATTCTCAATTAAGTATTCTCCTCTTCTATTCTGAGCGTTGTGACCCTGACCTGCATTGTCTGGAGGGCTGGACTCAATACTCATGGGCTGAGGAGAAGATGAAGAGGTGGAGGTTGTGGACGCCGCCGAGGCTGCTGCTGCTGCTGCTGCGGCGGCTGCTGTTGCCAGGGCCAGCTTCTCCTGCTGGGCCTTGCGTGCCTGCAGGGTGTCCCACTCCTCGATCTCCTTGTCAAAGAGCTCGTTGTCCTCCTTCACGTACTGCTTTAGGTCCGGAGGCAGTTTGTCCATACCGCTGAGTATCTGTCCGGTTTCTTTGTCAAACTCCTCTGCACAGAAAACAGAGAGACAATCAATGGTAAGTGAATGACAGCAGAAGGACGTCAAGTAATGAGAGTGTTGTTTTCTTGTTACACTAAGAACAATATGATCCCTCTACATAGAGGGTCTGCTAAGTTTTCAAAATTATAAATTTGTTAACATCTTTAGTGGTCACCTTCATTTTCAAAAGGTAAAGGATTATGTAAGGAGCACCAAGAAAGTAAATAAAAATAATATAAGCATCAGAAATCAGCAAATAAAAGCCAAACCAAGATCTGTTACTCACTTATTTACAGCTTAATTCTTTTTATACTGATGACTTCAATAAAGGATTGTGAATAACAAGTTCTGGTCATTTTCCCCATGTAGTTAACTGGCCTCTACTGTGTAGATACAAGGATGAGAGAGATGCCCACCTGAAATTGAAAGCATTAAAAGGTTTTCCAAATACGCCTTACACCTACGTGTATGGGCTTCATGATGTTCAAATCAATAAATTATATTCATATGACAAATCTTCTGCCTGTGTTCAAATGATAAGGGAATGATTATCACAAAAATATTCTCCTCTTCCTTATAAACAAATTTCCCTTTGAGGACAAATAAAGTCCTTGTGTTGTATTTCTGCTGCAGACTGTCATAGAGACATCTGTGGCATAGCAGCAAATGAATGACTATAAACAAACAGCTTTGATATTACATAAATCAAACATGCTGCATTACGGCGCTCCTCCAATATTATCCCTATGGCATCTCTTCAACATGAGGCAGATCATTCATATGAGAAGTCTGACACTCCGTCTGTGAGATTAATAGAGATCAAATCTCGCTTGAATAAGAAAATAGAGCAGGGTGGTTTGTTTTCTTCATCGTCAAAAATTTAACTTTGCATTTCCTCCTTAAAATGTTGACTCTACCACAACCTGCCGCACAAAAACCCACCAGACTAAAGTGTTCCTCACCTCAAATTTCCCCTCAGACTCTCAAACCTCCCTATTCATACTTATGCCCTATTTCGTTGAAATGAACCCTCGTGCGATAATTTACTAAATGTTCAAATTTGGATAGCAATCTCAATGAACTGTGTAACAACAATTATTATAATAATAGTCTCGGTTTATTTTAAAATGTTGGCCTTAAAATGTGTGAGAAGCGGCCAAGGGTTAAGATTTCCCCCCGAGGTCTCTTGCTGGCTGTTTTTTCCAGTGGCTGACTGTTCCATGTGTTTGCAGGAAGCCCTGATGACAGTCTGTGTTTTTCCTATGATTTCAATGATCCTTCTCCAACAAACCAAGTAGCAGGCGTTCATTTGCCATCAAGCCACCTGGATCAGCTGAGAGAAACTGGTGAATGCTTTGAAGGAGACTTCTAATAGACAAGGGCACTCTTTTGTTTGGGGGCAGCACCAGTCTTAAAACACCCTTGCTATTACCCGCTCACAATTCTGCATCTGGCAGCGACCAACTTTTCAGGGCTGTCTGAGAAGCCAGCTCTTGGTGAAGAAAGTGATTATAGATCTCCAGCCAAGTCTCCCTTTTCTTTTGTGCCAGTCTGACTCTCTTCTTTAGAGGCCAGGATGGAGTCAAACATGAGAGAGAGGATCTGAGAGCCGGATGTTCTCTGTTTATGGGGATTAATTAAAAAGATTGATGCTGGTCAGATGACCACAGGTAGGTTTCAGGATATCTTTATGCTGCATTTTGTTCTGCCTCTTTGTTCCACACAGAGTCTACAGCTCTGAATAAAAAACACAAAAGCTTCAGAAATACTACCAGACAAATCTACTCTGACTACAAACAAAAACCAGGTAACTGTTGTCAACGTTTGTGTCACTTATCAACAAATTCTGCATTCATAAAGTGAGTCTCTGTAAAAAAACTTAAAGGCAGTCCAAACTGTAACCAAGTCCACCATGTTTCCTTGGAGACTACTAAATGCTAAACCGGTGTTCCTGCGTACCTTCTATGAGAAAGGGCTTCTTGTCGTTGATATACATGAGACAGTAGGCACTGGCGTTTCGATAACCTCCAAATGAGTCCCTGACCAGCTCCTCCCAGGATGACTTGGTGACAGAGATGTCATTGTACTTCATCCAACAACGCTGATGTGGGTCGTAGATGTACGCCCAGTAGTGGCCCGCATTGGCCTGACCTTCATGAACCAGTACTGCATGAAGCCTGTAAGGAACCTGGAGAAAACAGGGACAATTTAAACCACTGGTTAAAAAATGGAAATGATTTGGTTTTAAATTGCACTCATGACTGTCTGCAGAAAACGGTGGCTCACCTGCATCATAGATTTGTCTGAGTACATTAACTCTATGGTTCTGTGGATTCTGGTTATGCTGCCCTGCAGATCTGTGAGGGTGAACAACATATCATTTTTTTGCATGAGGGTTACACAGCCTTTCAATTAGCAGGTGTACTATGCAGAAGGAACTCTGACACGGAGGCAGGTAGACTCACCACGGGTGTCATTTTCTACTTCACTCCTCCAGCGATGCAGGCAGCCCTCCAGCACCCTCAGCTCCTCTTCAGTGATGTGTCGCGGGGCAGGGTGCATGGGGAGGTCAGGAGGTAACCGGGATTGAGTAAAGGGCTTATGGATGGGTACTCTCTGCTGCTGCTGGGCTGCAGCAGGAGCAGCGGCGGGACCCGAGGCAGCGATTGAGCTCTCTGAAGGAGGTAGAGAGTCCTGCTCGGCTGTGCTGTAGGGGGGACAGAAAGAGAGTTGAAAAATGGCTGTAAACCTCAGCCAGACAGTTATGATGAGAATGACATTCATGTTTTTTTGGGCCCCATTGTCTGAATGAGCTTCATGTGTGAATGTAAATGGCTGAATTTGACTTTAAACAATTCAATCACCTTCATTTTTAGAGCACATTTTAACAAACAATGATGTTTACTGTAGTGCTACACGGTGATATAGCTAAAAAACAAAGTCTAATGACAGTGCAATACATGTGGATGGATAACTCAAGAACTCAAGATGGCACAGTCGGTCACCCGTTGTTTTTTAGCTGAGATATAGAGGGCACAAAAAGCAGATGATCTGAAGAGGGCCTAGACTTTGAGATCAGAGATGTTCTGCGGTGCTTATCCAGTTTAAGATTCAAAAACAAACAGTAAAATGATAAAATAAACCAAAAATGAAAGGGGAAAAAGAATGGGGGTAATTTGCTATCACTTTCAACTGTTGATTAAAAGGTCAGTAGCAGAATTCTGGAGTAACTGTAGGTGTGACAAGGAGGTCTGTTTTATGTAAACATTAAGTGCACTACAAAAGTCAAAATGAGAAAAGATATGCATATGTCACTCTCCTGAATTCCCTAAGACATTAAACAATGTAATCGCATAAAGAGTCCAGCAAGGTTTTCAGAGCCCTTATATTGTTTATTTTCAAGGGCAGGTAGGTTCATGTGTTATCAGCAAACAGATGGTAAGAAACACCATGACTTTTTTAAAATAAAACAAAGGTAAAAGGGGCAAATTGTATGAGTTGGAGAGCTGAACCTTGGGGTACCCCTCATAGCAGGGGGGCAAAAGTAAATTCAGATTTTCCAAGTTTGACTACCCCTAGAATATATCCCCAACAAGGCTCGAGGAAATGTCAACAAGAAGCCGAAGTGAGCAAATGTGGGAATTCAGCGGGAAGCAGTCCAAAATAAACTCCACAAGTGAATGGACTGAGAGTTATTTTGTTATCCTGTCTGATTTTTTAACCTTATGTTTTCTGCTGCTGTGTTTGTATTGAGAAGATGTCTTTAATTCATATTGTGGTTATTTTGACACACAACCCATCTATCACCACTACAGAAGACCTCTCTTCCCCCTGCACTCAGCGTCTCGGCCTGACCTTCATCAAAAAGACTAACTGGGATTCAGAGTCATGTAACCTGCTCTGCAATGTCTGTGTGACCAGCAAGGTCCTGGGAACATCTGGGCCTGAATGTTCAAAGATTATCTATAAAATGTGAGGAATTCATGTGTGAACAACAACAACAACAACATGCTTCAACAAAAACAGAAACTTACCTTGGAGGGGGCAGCTGTTGCCCTGTTGTGCCACCAGGAGGTGCTGATGAGTCAATATCTTCCACCGGGGAGGTGCATACTGGCTTACTAGAGGCAAACTCCATAGCATACTGGAGGACATCTGCCAGAGGAAACCTCTTGGGGCCAGAACCATAACTTAGATACCTGAGGGAGAGCAGGGAGGGAAATGAGGACGGACGAAAAAAGACAGAGAGAGTGAGCGATTAGCCGTCATGGCTGTTTGACAGTTTTGTAAACAGACAGGTATTTATGCACTAATGTTCAGTACCTCTCCAGTCGCTGTTGAAGCAGTGTCAGGTGCTCTTTCAGCCTCCTGATCTCCTCCCTCTTGATCCTAGTTATTTCTCTGTTTCTGTCCATGTATCTAAAAAACAGAACCAGCAGGGGCGTCAGTAATACAGAGGGTACAGGGTCCATGGTGATTTACTGTAGAGAGAAATACTGTAGAGTTTGCTTTCACCTATCCATATAGAGCATGGAGGGGAACTCCAGCTTGTTGTGGATCTTCTCAGGTCGTCCCAGTGCTTGGTTAAACTCAAATCTTGACAGTTCAAAGGTCAACACAGGAGGAAGCTCTGTGAACCAGTGCTGAAACAGAAATACATAATCATCAGATTAACAACCTAGTTGTGTTTGCATTCTTCCCCAGAGGAAATCTTCAGTTATTGTAGCATAAATATTTAGATTTGGGGCAGGTTGTGATTAGATTATGAGAAAAGAGGACCTTAGTTTGACACACAATAAAACAAACAAACAAAAAAAACAGACAATTTCCAAGTTCTCTCAGCAGAAGTCACACCACAGTACAGAAAAACCCCAACAAGTTTTATACAATACAGAATTTCACTAAAGAAAAAGTACAAAAACATAAGACTATATTTTTGATAATCAAGAAGTTTATATTAAGAATGGCCAAATTTAGTATTTTAGTTATATCATCTATTTTTTTTTTTTTTTTTTGCAATATCAAAGTGCCCCTTATTTTTTGCAGCAACTGAATGAGCTCAAGCTCACATAAGAGTTATGCCAATTGAAATTATTTATGTTTTATAAGCTCAAAAATTTACTCTAACCATCACTTTAATTGCGATGTTCTGTGAAGCGGTTGTTGCTGTGTAGTATCAGGGTTGTTGTTGTTGTCCCCTATCATCAAGTGATTCTCGTAGCCCTAGCAGCAGGTGATCAAACCTGGCTCATGAATAAGTTATAGATTATCATTCTCCAGTATTTGATTCAGGCTTGAGGAAACTATTTGATGCTTTGCAGCCAACAGACATGATGGATCCAGACACAGTAGGGTAACACACAGTGACGTTAACAAGAAAAATTAAAGCTTGTTCAGCTCATTCACAACCATGTCAGATGTATGATGGAGTTTTAGGGCCACACTGAAGAGTTTTCGTATGTCTAGAATAAATTAATGTTACAAGAACAATGTCATATAAAAATAAAGTCATAATCAAACTAGGAAAAAGACATAGTAAAGTTTAAAAAAATCACATTGTTTAAGTTGTGATCAATTTGTAGTTAAACCATATTCTAACATGAATTAAGTGCAGCATTAGGTAGCATAAAAGCTAATGAGGCTGTTAGAATTTAATATTTACCTTAAATTTACACAGACAAAGGCAGTAAAGTTCCTATAAAACCAAACAATAAAGCTCGAGAAACAAACCTAAAATCTTGTCAAATTAATATTCCTGAAATACTCCTAACATAAAAACCAGTCAACGTGAGTCATAAATACTGCCCTCTATCCTTCGCCCTGTTGATTCACTTTCTGGCAGGTACAGCTGATGAGCGGAGGAGGGGCTGCGTGGGAGTTTGGGGTGGGGGTGATCTGACAAATTGTTTTTTAACAGTTTTAAAGAGGTGTGGAAAATTTGGCGAAGTGGACTGTACACAGTCAGCTTTTGGTCCAGCTTGCTTGAGGAATGTTTCTCTTTGCTTAAAGACCCACTCTGATGAAAATCATGTTTTTCTTGTTTTTTACATGTTCATTTTCTGATGCTACAGGACATATTATGAGATAAGTAAGTGTGAAATTGCATTTCTGAGTATTTCTGCATTCATATCGCTGTGAATCTCTGGCAGATCCAAACTGCAGGCTCAGACACAGTGAGATTTCCAACATCACAAATCCAAGCTCCGCCCCCTGAGCCCCGCAATGCAGGCCAGACTTGGAGAAACAGGGAGGACTATCGCATAACAAGCGTGTGCCTTAGCAGATTGCAATGCTTGTAAGACAGCTAACTATGATCTTAGCTTTCATCATGTCCCCAAAGACATTGGTGTCCGAGAGCTGAATAGCCTCCATGTTACCTGCCACTTGTACTACACCGGCAATGTTAGGCTACAAGCTAGCATGAAGAGGAGTGTGTAAAGCAGCGCTGTCTCCACCCATGACTCAGAGGTGAATTGCTTATGAGCTACTGGAGCTCTGCAGAAGAAAAGCCCTTGAAAATGACACGGGTAACATGATATTGGCTAAAAAACTTCTTAATCACATTTTAAAGACCACTGATAACACTTTTAAGTAGTAAATTAAAAAAAAAAGGATTAGTGGATGGTCTGATTTTTAGAGCATTTAAATAGATGAGTAAAGTTACTGTTCTGCTGTCAGTTTTGATTATGTATGTTTGTAAATGTGATAAAGGCACTCAGCTACACCCTGATACTTTCTTAGAAAAGATAAACTAAATCCTTTATTTTGAGGACTGTGAAGGAAACCTAAAGTATTTTATTTTGAAGCAAAATTGTAAACATATATATATATATATATATATATGTATATATGTATATATTTATATTGATTACAAGTAAAACTATTCAAATATTACTTTAACCTCCATTTAATGAGCATATCGATTAGGGTGTGACACCAGCAATTACATCCAGCCTTTTACGTTTAGTTTGAACAACAAAGGAACTGTATTTGTTTTAAAGAGCTTTTAAAATGTTAAAATATCTCAAACTGTTATGTTGTCCTAAGTTCAAATGCCAAGCATGTTTGAGTCTGTTTGAAACTGTTTTTATTGGTATAAATCTTCCTAAGATCGTTCGTGTAATTAATGTTAATCCAAAAAAGTATGACCTCCACATTTTTGATTCAAAATAAAACCGTTAGATTTTTGTGTTTCTAAAATCAATTTGATCACACCAACACAGACCCCTAAATTGATAAAATACACAGTAGGGACTGGAACAAGTGGGTCCTGTTAATCATTATTAATATAAACAAAGACAAAAACAATTATCTGAAGTTTTTTTTTTTTATTATAACTCTTTAAAAAAACTCTGCCATATAATTTAGTTTTCTGAATTAATAAAGGCAGGTGCACACTGTCCAGCTCTGAGTCCACAGTGACATCAGTGCAATATAATGAGGGTGAAAATGATCTATTCTGCTCCAATGAAATTCCACTTTTCTCTCTTAAAAATAAGCTAATGAACCGTAGAGTTCTGTATTATCTATGTCCTCTCAAATAAAACATTAGAGTGTCATCATCAGACTCAACATGTGCTCTCATGTCTTCTTGTATGATGTGAAGAGCATCGCTGCTGCTCTGCTGATGGCTGGGTGCCACACTCGTCTATGTACTGGCCTGATAATTAGCTGCCGCCTGCTGCTGTGGGACAGTGTAGACCAGGCTACAGCTGAGAGGAGGTCAAATCCGAACAGCTCTGGTGTCACACATAGGCCAGGGGGTCAACACTTTGGAGAGGATCCACCCAGTAACCCAAAATGATTGAACCTGACTCCAAAATGAAACTGATTGGTGGAAACTGAAGCTGGTTTCATGAGAAAGGACGTTTCTGACTCAGTGTTTGGCTTCTGGGAAATGTAGGGGCAGGCTCTTGTACCATAAACTATTTACTTACAGTGCCAGCAAGCTTTTTATATATTCAAGAGGGTTGTTAGAATATCAGGGTTGAAAATTCTGCTCATTCTGTGGCTTTAGTTGGAAATGTGACCGCACATTTTTCACAGCCACATCACTGCAGACTCAACAGAGCCGACAGGAATGGTAATGTTTTTAAACCCACAGAATGAGATGGTATTAAAATGATCGTACTTTCAACAACCTAACATCAGTTTAATACCAAGTCATTACTATCCAGGCATGAAAACTAACCATAGATTTTATCTTCTTCTGCACCAAAATGTTATGTAAGCTTTTTTTTACTGACCTCTTGTCCAGACCTGGCAGAGTTTTCTGCCGAGTGCAGCGACTCGATCTCGCCCTCGATCATCGCCGCCTCCAAACATTCATGGAGATCCTTGAAACCGTTCACCTGCAGAGGGTACTGCCCAAACATCTCAGTGTTTTCAAATTTTTTACCTGTAAAAAGAAGAGAATAAAGTATTTCACAATGTTGTCCTTAACTTTTACACTGAGAAACCATAAATTATCTAAGATCGAAGTTAAAAAGATTTGAATCAGCAGAATTTAAAGAAGCCTCATATTGACAAAATTTTTGCCGGATCGTTTCTTATTTTCAGCATTTAATCATTTTAATCTCTTAAAACTTTAAGACCTTATAATGACCAAAAGGAACTCTGTGTTGTACTGTAAACCTACACCACCCACTCTGACTGCTACACACATTAATCAAAGTGATGAGTTTGATTCCTTTTTTTTTCTCTGTTCTCTATCCACAGTCTCATTTCGACACTAAGAGATCATTTGTCAGCTTTGCTTCTTTAGAGCATATGCTACCGTCTTCTAAGGAAACGCAAGGCAACATAACTTTACATGAAGACAAGTGAGGAGTCATTGTTGACGGTCAATTCAAGCACATTTTCTAATACAATGGGAAATGAATCTTTCATCCGTTTATTTTAGATAACAGAAAAATCCACTCCTGTTCAGTCCAGACAAACTGCAGGTTTAAAGATATCAATGTTATCCATGGCTTATCAAAAACAGGACATGCCAAGACATTGATTTCATGTGATCTTTGAGAATTACAAGCCCTAAATTCAGAAGAGCTGGGACACAGAATCATTGATAAAAACAGAATTTGATGGGTTTCAGATCATTTAAGGCATGTTTCAAATTAAAAGAAGAGCAAAGACAATTAAAAAATGTCAAATTGAAAAAAACTTTTTTTTTTTTTATTGAAAAGATACTCTAATTTTAAATTTGATGCCAGCAACAAGTCAAAACAGTTGAGACAGGGACACTGAGAGTTGTGTGATGCTACAAGAAAAAATACCTGGAGGAACATCTTCCATTTAATTACATTCATTAACAGACTGGTAACACATCAGGGGATAATAAGAGCAATCCAGAGAGGCGGATTCCTTTAGGGGTAAAGCTGGAGAGAAATTCACTACTCAGTGAGAGACTAGGTGAGGGAAGATTAAGGATTCATCATTTAGAGTCCATAATATTGAAGTAATTCAGAGAATCTGGTGAAATTTCTGCACTAACAAGATAAGGCCAATGACTGATACTGGACAGCTGTGAAGATAAGGCCCTCGGGCAGCACTACGCTAAAAACAGACATGACTCTGTGATGGAAATCGCTGCACAGGCTCAAAATCACCTTCAAAAATAACTGCCTGTGGACAGAGTTTATTACTGCATCCACATCCTGCTAAGAGAAAATTAACCCTAAACAAAATCCCAAAATTTCAGAAACTTACTGAAGCCTGAACCAGTTCAAGACAAACCGAGGACAAAAGGAAAGACTGTCTTGTGGCCAGATGAATCAAAATTTGACTTCCATTTTGGGAATCATGGATGCTGCGCCCTCTGCTCCAAAGAGGAGAAGGACCACCGAGCGCTTATTGTCTGCAGGCAGTCAACAACAACTTCACTGACAGTATAAGGATGCATGAGTGTCCAAGGCATGGGGAACTAATACAGCTGAGCTGAATGATATTCTCAGGACTGGGAGCAACACATACTGCCATCCAAACAATGCTTTCTCTAGGAGGAGCTTGCATAACACAGGGAGAAGATGCCAAACTGTATTTTAGCACATTTTACAACAGAACTGAAGTAGAGGAGTCTTGGTGCAGTACTGATTTGTCACCATTAAAAAAACATTTAGTGCATCAGGACACAATCCACACTGTACAAAAAAAGAAAGCCCTGATCTGTTGGTCAGCTGAAACCCTTTATCAGGCCAGAATGGGACAAAATCAAACCAAACTTCATTTATAAGGCACTCTCATACAAAATGATGTAACACAAAGTGCGTTACACTTAACTTAAAACTCTAAAAGCTAATGTCCTCAGTTTCCAAACCTCTAAAGATGTAATACAAACACAAAACTTATCATGCTTATCATCCCTGCCCCAAATTTAAAATGAACATACATTTTTCATAGTACAGAAATATTTCTCAAAATTTATTGTCATTCCACCCTTTTCAGTTAAATATAAGGCAGAGATGAATTGTAATTATTATTACCAACATTTTATACCAAAATAAAACCGGGGTTCCAATTACTTGCTGATCCCAATTAAAATGTTAATCTAAAGTTAGTTTTTGCCTTTTAGAAGTTCACTCATTGAGGCTGTGTCATCAGTATGTTTAAGAGAAACAACTAAGTGGGTCTTATACATCATATCACACACTGTACAATGGTCAAATTTCTGTCAGGCGTGACAGCGGAGTTGGAGAAGCAGAGAGCGTGAAAGAAGAAGCAATAACGAGCCATTTCACACCCGTCTGCATCCGAGCTGCTTTTTCACTTGTTCAGCAGTCACTCACTCATCATTTAACAGCTGCACAGACCTCCCTGCTCCAACTACTGATGAGAAGCCCCAAAAAAAGACAGAGGAGTTGCTAGCGGACATGCAGATGAGGCATTAAGGTCGTTTTATGAGCAGTAGAGTCCACTGGCCCAGCTTTCGGTGGCTCTGGGCCAGTATTGTCATGCATAATAAGCACAATGTCAATCAGCCATCAAGGTCTTCCACAATCAATGCAACCACGCTCCTCTTTTACATGGACCACATCTCATTAAGACAAGGTCACCTTTCATTACTGGGGGCGAGGACTTGCTTGCTTTCTGGCTGATGCAATCAGGCCGAGTTAATGCTGTAACTCTCTGTGATTCTCTGGCTACCCCTCACTTTTTTTCTCTTTATTGGTTTTAATTTAACAGCTCATCTCACCTTCCAGGACGCCCACAGCCAGAAAGCGACCGTAGAAAAGCTCCACCATGGGGTTCTTTGGCTTCTCACCCTCCCTGAAAGCACAAAACAAAGGCGGAGTTATCGACATGGGATGTCTTTGTTTCATCTCGATGTGTACAGCAGACGTTTCATTCTTTTTGAATCTATAATGGTGACTTCTGAGCATTAGGAACAAGGGGACAAGAACTGCCAGAGGTCTAAACTACCATGCTGTCACGGTATGGTTTTATCTTATAGGGAGTCTCTATAACATCTGTTTATCTAAAAGGGGAGATCTCTTTGTCTATTCATGTTAAAAGCATCAAAATTGGATTTTCAAATTGACTCCATGGCTGTTTTCTCAAACCAGCCATATTTATACCTGCCTTATATGGAACTCTTACTGTATTACAGTGAAAATGACCAAGCTGAAATATCCCGGATAACTGTGGATGCAGTTTTTCTAAAGGCTCTGATCTGTGTGTTTTTACCTAGAGTCTACTGATGCCGCCAGACCTTGGTGCATGTCATTCCCCACTTTCTATTCCCTGTTTCAGTCTCTGTTTACTGTCCTGTCTCATCAATGGAGGTGTTTAAAGTACCAAATTATAATCACTTTGGTGATCTAATTCAATCTGATACAACAGCCCTTTCAGGATGTTTCTACATTTCCAGTTTTTGGTGGCTTGATCAGACAACCACTGTGCCTAATAGCTGTGATTCAAGTTGTAGTGGGTGGAGTTGGTGGTGATCTGGAGTGTGTTTATATTAAGAGAGGTGTTCCCTATACAGTACTTGTCCATTCATTAACATGTATGAGGGGAGCAAAATATCAGGAGCATCTTTCAATATAAAGCACCACCAACACTCACTACATCTTAAACCTGCTTGACTGTGTCAAAGAAAACAGAAAATAAAGAGGCTTTGTAAAAGTAGATTTATGGTCGGGATGTTGTATTAGGTTGTATTACACCGTTCATAATGCTTAGAATAAGAACTGCAGACCCCTCAGCAACTCCAACCTCCGACAGCACATTGCATTTTCTTTTTCTGAAAACATAAAGCTCTGGTGTGAAGTGTCCAGCTGGTTATGAAAGAAATGAAAAAAACCTAACATTTCTATTGCAGTCAGCCAGGTACACAATGTGCAATTTATATGCAGCTTTGTAGCTCTCTCTAGTGCCATCTGTTATTATCATGCAGAGTTTGCAATCCTGCATGCTACAGATACTGCAATCAAGCTAAGCCTATATAATCATTGATAGCCAAGAGTCAATTGGAAGTCAGACCAAGTAACTTGGGGTCGTGTCATCCCCTTCTGATGGTCACTTCTTTTTTCATATTGAGAAGTCGTTCAATCTGACCATCATTATAGAACTTTATTCATTCAAGAGTGTGTCACTTTTTCTTTGAAGGAGAATGGCTGATGAGAGGTGGCACCACCAGCTCGGTGCATGTTGCCTTTTCTAGCATGTTCAGCGAAGTGAAGCAAACATAATGAATGGCGAAGAATTTTCAGTCAGCTTAGGTGAAATTCAGAGGGTGATGGTAGGAGCTACACTTAGTCATGATGGTGTCAGTGTAGCACTATCTGGGTAAAATACCCCTCTTTGCAGTTTGAACTGATGTTTCAGTTGCACAGATGTAAAAGAGCTAGCCTACTTTTATTTAAAAGGTATATGAAGTGCTTCTAAAACACCAAAATTCAAAATTATACAGTTGATACTTAAATTTCGGTTTTGATGCAACACTGCCAACAAATACTGAATTACTGTAAAGTTCTGATCCTCAAAACAGTATATGTTTACCTGTCTTCCTCAGCCTTCATCTGAAAGGCGTCCTCCAGCCAGTCAAGAAGCTTGTGGGTGAACTCGCTCACATCCTGCTGTTGAGCAAAGGCACAGACAGAACAGACAAAACGGGCAATTACACAACTATCTTTAGGGATACGAACATCACACACAGAGTCAAACTGCAGTTACAAGCAAGAAAGTCTAATCATTCAAATCGATGCCATTATCTGTCATGTGCTGCCGTACGCTGAGCCTGGGATAAAAGATGACTTGTCTTCGCCCACTGATCGCTGAACCTCAAAGGGAACCTGAACACGGCAAGGCCACTCTCCTATGGACATCAATGCCACACGCTAATTCAGGTCAGTGCCCCTCCAACCTTACGTATACACAGAGTAGTGACATGACTGATGAGCGCAGAGGCCAGAGGGTTGACCTCAGTTAACCTCTGCACAGCCACTGGCTTAGTGTGAATGCTTATGTAAGGACAAGGCCCTAACAGTTAGGACACGTTATAGGATATTGGTGAAGAACAGCTAATTCCTCATCAATATTATTTCTTGCACAGTTCAGAGGGAATGATGTGGGTTTGAGGATTAATAGTTTTAGATAGGAGAGGTTAAGTGTCGTAGGTTCAGTCTGGCTGACTCAGTGGAACAACGGTGTTATTGAGCATTCAAGCTTTATGCATGAAAGGAATAGAGGAGGCGGGGTATTAAACATTGACAGTGACTGAGTGTGTGTGTGCGCGTGCTTGTGTGCATAGTAAGGTTGCCAGATATCAAATATTAACCTCACAATTATTGTGGCCAAAAAATACAAGATATTATATTTATGGAAAATTGAACAAAAAATCTTAAGTCAAATCAAGGAAGTGGTGTACACAAGTCCATGTTATTTCATAAACTCTACCAATAAACACATTTGACTTACTTACATGTCACCATCCATTTCTAATGAAGTTCAAAGTTATGTTTTGACCTTCATCTGTTTGTCCCAAGACAGAAACTTCAAATTAAAGTCATTGCCTTTTCTGCATCCTACTCCTTGTTACACTTTACATCAAACACTTGCTTTGTTTTTTTCATGACATCCAAAAAACCTCCCAAACTGGCAAGGAATCTTTGTTTGGGTAGGACACCTCTCTTTCATTTTTCATCTGCAGTAGAGGACACAGGCTGCGGCAAAGGCCAGCTAACTAAGACTAGCTGGGTGATAACTGAGTCTTCTGCTGCTGTTGCACCTCCCTTCTGCATCTTCCATCACTCCTCCTCTCTACCATAAACCAATTAGTAATACTGTACTTTTTTTTTTTTTTTTAAGTTGGTTGTTGTTGTTAATAATACATTGCAAGAGCCAAAAAACCTGCTGTTTCTCCAAATGCTGTACATCTCGTGCTTTTGCAACGCCTTCACACAAACTGATATCAAACTCTCAGACAGCAGTGTATGTCCCTTAGGGTTCATTGTAGGGCTGGACTTTTAATTGCAATCTAATCAATATTGCAGAATGATTATTCCAAAAATCTAAATTTACAGCATGGGTCTGGATACTAGAACCATGTTTTTTAACACCATTTGATGAATCCTAATAAAGCCTTGGTCAGGATTGAACTGATCTCAGAATGAATGGTGACAATTTACTCCCCCCCCTAAAACACCTGGACAGGGCTTCACACCTCACATCTTCTGCTCTCAACAAAGACGGGTGTTTTTCCTCTCGCTCCCTCCCTAACCTTATCTGCCCTGCTTGCTGCTCTTTGTCTTGTGCTGTCTGTCTAAACTACTGCAGCCTCTCTCTGCATTTCTCTCCAAAACCTAAAATCATTGATTTGATCAGCTGGTCTCCCAACATAATCGACCAAATTTTCTCCACGAGAAGACTGGGTAAAGGAGACCCGCCTGCCCTGACGGAACATTTGCTGCTGGATACACATTGGACTCCTGGGAGAAGTGGAGGGTTGTGTACCTGTCGATTCTTTCCATTGAGGATGTCTACATAACTGGAATTATGATAACAGGCATTCTGATGTTTGGAGTTAGCAGCTTCCTGATCTATCGCACAGTTTGGAAGACGTTTGCAGCACTTTTGGATACTGGGAAGCTGCCCGTTATGACTAAGGGAATGTGTAGGGCTGTCGACACTCAGACTCAAGCGATATCAGAGCTTAATCGCAAGCTGGATGCGATTCTTGATCGAAATCGCAGGCTCGTTGTGATTGAAGAACTCCTTCGCACTATGGATACCACCTTGGAGAAGCTGACAGCCCGGCTCGGCTGACTTGGCCACCAAATTCGGATATTTGGGTCAACCCCATCAGAGCATCAGAGACCAGAGAGACTGAAGGTGGATGGAAAGTCACAGAGTCTGCCTGTCCTAAAATGAATTGTTATCTTCATCATTGGCTCCCTCTTACTGGCCTTGGAAGGCTGTTATGTCTCCACTCCTGGATGTTATGCAGACAGATGCTCAGCCCTACCAGCCCCCACCCCACCCCCCGCCTCCTGTGAACTTTGTTTCTGGATCAGAACTCTCCAAGGTCATCGCCAGTTATCAGACGGCAGGGACGAATGGGTGGGACTGAAGTGGAGACGAAGCCACAGGCTTACACATACACGAAGAACACACACCCTTTTTTTTATGTCTACTGGACGGGTTGAACTGAAATGCAGTTTCGTTGCTCTGTACTTGTGACATGTGCAATGACAGTTAATTCTTCTGTTTGGTTCTGTTCACTGCAAACATTTGGTCATAAATACTTCCTCATATATCCACCTTACCTGTGCAGCCTCAAAATATGCTTAAAAGTATTTCAATGGGTGTAAATAATAGTCTTGATGTGACTCTTTTTCAACCATGGCTGCAGTAACTGCTGCTTGAGTATTTATGTCTGCTTTGTGACCTCAACTGAGCGCCACAGTTGTCTATTAAGCAGATATTACTGATCAACCCCAGTGTCGAATGATCAAGCACTTAGATGAGAAATTAAATGTCAGCTTGATATTATTGTTTTTCAGTGCTGATTTTAGATTGGTTATTATTAGTCGTCATTCACTCCCTCTCACTGGGTTCAAGTGTCACATGACAAACAGCTCATTCGTGTGTAATCAGAAGAGCTGAAGTGGGAAAGATCCCTTATTCAACACCCGATGTTGACAGTGAGGGTGCAGAGTAGATTTAACCACGCTGACTTTGCTTTTCCCGTTTGTGGAGATTGAGAAGACACCGGTAGATCCGCCGTGAATGTCTATCGGATGTCCAACCTAAAACTAACTTCACCGCGGTGTAGATTTAATCACGCTGCCATTGCTATTCCCGGTTATGGAGAGTGAGAGGACACCGGTAGATCTGCAGTGAATGTCCCTTGAATATCCAACTTGTACTAACTTCACCGCGGTATTTACATGAAAACACACTTGTTGCCTCGCCTGATTTATTTTTATGCGCACGTGCCCCTAAATACATTTTACAATTTGCATACATCTATTTTTAGCTGCAAATGCGAGTGAAACGGTCGCACTGTCGAGCCCTGTGCATAATAGTTGAATGGCTAAAACACCAACGAACAGCGCTTCAACTTTAAACCACATCTGCATAACGACTGAAAACACATCCAATATGGTGATGGTAGCACAGCTGAATGAACAGACCAGACTCTAGTGTTTTGGTTACTGATTACATGTTGCCATGTAACAAAAGGTATGTAGATTAGTATCATGACGTATATGAGGACATGTGCATGATAGTGTGTGAGCAGAGAGAGCCTGTGTGTGTGTGAAATGATAACTGCCAGAGAGAACAATTTATGTATAATTAATCTGATATTGTTTACCATAATATAGACTGACTGTTGTAAAATACATTAGAAGAGGACCTTGAAAAAATAATTGCAGATTAAATTGCAATACTGAGGAAAAAAAATTGCAATTAAGATTATTTTCCAAAATCGTTTAGCCCTACGATTGACCTTTCCAAAGCCCAGTAGAGTTGGCAGTGGGGACAGTGGTGTGAATGTGGATGCATCAGCAGTGAAAAAGGTTCACAATTTTGGGAGAGTGGCTGGTCGTCTCAGTAGTGCTGTGCAAACAGCTGAGTGCACTGTGCTCACTGTAAAGCCTGTGGGGTGCTGGTTGCAGGCAAAACTGTGCTGGAAATCATCCTCCAAACACAGGAAATGCTGGGACAAGTCTTGTTTATGCTAGTTATGGTGCCCTTAGTGGTTGTTCTGAAAATGTGTCTGGTGCTTTTAACTTTCTGAAGTTGGGTGAAAAAGTTAATCAGGAGCTCTGCTGGACATGTTCACTTAAAGCCTACGAATGCAACATTAAAAACAAGCCTGGTTGTTGTTTTTAACTACACTGATGGGTCTAATTAAAGCCAATACATGCTGGGTTCATTTAACCTTGCAAGTCTTGTTGCTGCTTTAGCCCAAAAAGATGTGTTTAATATTTAACCCAGATGCTGGTCCTTATAAACTTAATTACTGAGTCTTTTCTTCCTCATTAAAAGGTTATTATTAATTCATGTTTTCTTACAGTTATACCTCTGAATAATGCATACATTTATGGTGCTCACTAGTTTTAACAAGGGTAGGCAGTTTGGTTGGTAACTTGCATGGACAGTTATAAAAGCCATCCAATATTTTCCTAAAGCTAGTAGGAAATGTTTTGTAAGGGTAAATATGACAGGCCTCTAATCACCATGGATACCTTACTGTCTTCTGTTTTGTCAGATAATGGATGTTTTCGTAGGATGTGAAAAAAAAATTCACAAACATGATAAAAATGTTCATAAAATGTTAGGATATGAGCATATCTATCTATGATATCTATTTAACCCATGAAGTGGAAATGCTCTCCATGTTATTATGAAGTTCTTTTCTCTGACACTGTCTGAACTTAGTGAATGTTATTAACCCACTTAAAAGCAGATCAAGGCTTACCTGCTGCGACTCACTAGACTTGAAGGCGTCTTTGAGGATTTCCACAGCTCGTGATGGATCCACATATTTCCTCTTGGAGCCAACCATGAGGGAGAAGAGGTTCCTCAGCTCCTGCATGAAGGGCAGGTTCCTGTGCTCCTGCTCAGAGAAACACAAACAACAGGTCAGTAAATCCATCACATGATAAATCAGTGCTCCTTATCTCAGAGGAAAATTGAAAATACCCCCTGACAAAAGTACCTTTTGAGATACTACTTCAAATAATATATTTAAGTGTCCCTCTGTGGTAAGGAAATTTGTGTAAAATTCAAAGAGTAGTTAAAAGTTTACTTGTGTGATTCATTATTACAAATTTATATCTTTAATTGGAATATGTGCTTTTCAGGCTGGGGTCATAGATGCTGGATAAGTGGCTACAAAACATAGTGAGACTCAGTAAAACTGTTATTTTTTTTTTTTTCCAAGAGTTAAAGTTGAGGCATTTTATTGAATTTATATTTCATAATGGAGGGCTTGAATTAAGTTTAACCAGTTTCTTTGAACTGTTTAAGTTTTATTTTAGGTCAAACTTTCATATAAAACATCTGCATATAAAAAATAATGACCAGCTAAGGTGCTCTTTTACAGATGAGCAACAAGTTTAGACTGACTTTATCGTCACTTACATACAATACATCCAAATCTTACTGTGTGTATGTGTCTAAATTCTGGTCAAAATATCCCACTAATTATACCAAAGCAACAATTAACTAACAAGAAAAATGAAATATCTTACTTCAATAAATTTCATACAAAAAAATTAAACCTGAGTTGTTTGCAACAAGCAAAAATTACTACCAGTGCAGCAGTTGAAATGTTCTTGTAAAATGCCTTTAAATAAGACTTCAACATGAAAATCCATTTTAGAAAACCTTTTGAGTCAATTTTATATTTCAATGGCCTATATTAAATAAAACTATATTCTTTGGAATCCCTCAAGGCTCCGTTTTAGATCCTGTGCTGTTTTCTTTCTTGCCGTTTCTTCTGTGGTCAGTTTTTGAAAAAATTAACCATTTCTTTTCATTGTTTTGCAGATAATTTGCACATTTATCTGCCAATAAAAACAGACAATAAATCAATATTGAACTGCCCTGAATGTGTTAAATCTTGGATGGCGTTGAGTTTAGACTAAATGAAAAGAAAGGGAAAGAATATGCATTAATAGTGTTATTTGCCCAACGGCCTTGAACAGTCATCTTTCTGAAAAAAGGATTTCTGACTGTTTTCAAACTGTTCAACAGATGAGCTCAGCTGTAAAAATAAACGCCTCTTAAGGCCTTACTTCCTCTATACAAGTTTGAGAGGATCATATACATTGTCATTACTTCTCTTTTGGATTATTGTCATTCTTTGTATTTTAGTGTTGACCACTCGTCCTGATGTCATTTACAGATGGGTCAAAAAGTAGCTGCACATTTACCAGCTAGCGACAGATGGCGGGAACACATCACTCTACAGACTTCGTGTCATTTCAGGATTTAGTTTCATATTCTATTACTTGTTTTTAAAACTGTTCATAGACTTGCACCGTCATACCTGTCTGAGTTGTTGTACCAACATGATCTACCCAGAGCACTAAACTCAACACATCAAATGCTTTTGAATGTCCCAAAATCCAGGCTAAAAACCAGAGGTGACAGGGCTTTTGCAGTGGTTGCTCCCACACTATGGAACAGTCCGCTTTTAGTACAGGACCTGCTGTGTGCCTCGGTCATTGTTTACAACAGATCTATTTGCATTGGCTTTAATACTAAATGAGTGTGATATCCTGAAATTCACTTCTCATTGGTCTTCTTTTAAGCTTGTAGAACTGCCTGGTCGACTGCAGTTATTTGAAATGTGCTGTATAAATGAACTTTGACTTGACTTCAGTGTAATGAAACATTTTGATTCAAAAAAAGAAAAGTGCACTTGGTGTGCTTTGAGTTTTCTGCAGTGCATGACTGCTGATACAAGTTATTCTACAGGGCTCATCTTTCGGTTCTGTGTTGTAACCATGGTACCCAGTGATATGACTTTAATTAGAAGTGTGTATGATTCAGTGGCATTTAGGGTTGAAGCTGAAGATTGCTCACAACCTTTCACATGACTTAGTGGTGCTTAATACCAACGGACTGTCCTGTGCTCATGAGAGAAGGATGCTGATGTAAGGATTAGGCTTTAAGCTCTAGTGGTCTCATACTGCTTAAGTTAAAGGTCAGCTAACAGGACCAGGGGAACCTATATGAAGGGATGACTCCCACAGTTCCACAGCAGAGGCTCAGACCAGATTAGTGACTGGCTTCTGACACTATGGTCATGACTGGGTTGGGGAACTATGGACAAACCGAGCTGAGATCCACTTTGCTCTGATGTGGTGACTGTGTGTCGAAAATTTCCAGCATCTCAAATGTAAACACTGCGGTTCATAAAAACACTCTCTGTGTGCGTTCCCTTTGGTCCCCACAGAAAAAAAAGGAGGATGTTTCATTAAACATTTCACCCCAGTGGGGACTTGTTGTATCTTGCTAGCACTGAGTAATGTGAACAGTAAGAGGCCAAACACTAAGCTGCTGTAACCTTAGGGCCAGATCACACAGTGGCTGAACGGTGGCTTACAGCTCAGGGAGGGTCAGACCCTCAGAGCTAATGTACTGCTAGCTGTGACAAAGCTATAAAAAGGCTGTGCTGATGTAAACAGAGCTGACGGGAGGTTGCAAACACAGGCGACCAAACTAAAAAGCCTTCAAAAATCTTCACAGTTATGGATGCTTTGTTTACCTGCCTCAGGGCCTGAATAAAGGAAACAAGGGTCTTACCTTCTGGTTGCGAGGCAGGTCATGGACTCTGGCTGGAGGGGAGTAGTTGAGCACCAGCCTCTGGAACTCCAGCAGGTTAAACAGAGACTGGGAGATGAAGGGAGACGAAAGCATGTTAGTAAGTCCAATGAAGCAACATGATGCAGTGAGGCATAAACCAGCTGTTTTACAAAGTTTGTGTCCCCATTGTGAAGAAAATATTCTAAAATACAAATGTCATTAGATTTCAACTTTTACTCATCATACAAGCATCATGGATGAGCCAGATTATTGAAATCTGATGGCATTGCTGCAGAAATAAATTGTAAACAGTTGTGATCTGTTTTGCTTTTTCAGCAAATGTTTGGGAACAAAGGAAAAAGTTCCAGGATTTTCAAGAGTGAAAATTTGTCTTGCCTGATGAAATCTTTCAGACTAGGGCTGCACGGTTTTGGCCAAAAATATAAATTCAGATTTTTTTCTCTGAAAACTGGATTTTACATTTCAATTTTGAACGGGTTGATACTGCCTTCAAACAGACTGTAGAGGGGAGAGGTTTGCTCTTCATCCAAAACTGCAAAGCCATACCAGTTCCACACGACTGACTTGCTCTTGCCCCTTTTAGCCACGAAATGATCGGCTTCTTTTGCAAACACCATGTTTGTTTACACTGGTGCATGTGGGAACTGGGGAGCACTTCTGCGGGAAGGGGGAGCCTACTGTGGCCTGGAGGTGCGACACATGATAGCGAGGAAAATCGATTTGATGATTTCAATTTGTTTAACATCAATATAATCAAATAATCCAATTTTAAATCAATTAATCGTGCAGCCCTATTTGAGACCCTCCTTTGTTTTATTACCCTTTCATGGTGCGCTACATATGTTCAATGAGAGACAAGTTGGGACCGTAGGCAGATTAGTTTAGCACCAGGACTCTACAAGCAGCATAGGCTGCTCCAAAACCTGTTAATATTGTCCAGTGTGGATGGTGGCCTTTCACAAGTGTAAGGCACCAGTGCCATAGGTGCTTATGCAACCCCATACCACCAGGGATGCTTGCCTTTGAACTTTGAGCTGAAAATAAGCCGAGTCGTCTCTCCAAAGTTACAGAGGATGTGGCATCCATGATTTCCAAAATGGATGCACAGATGTGATTTGTCAGATCACAGGACAGTTTTTCACTTTGCCTATTTAAATAAGCTTAGGCCTGGAGAAGTGAAGTGCATCTCTAGATCATATCATCTATCATTTAATCCGTCTCATTTTTTCAAGGATACAATCCAAATCTAAATATAAATGTCAGTGAAAGTAAACATACAAGTCGTCAGGATTTTGTATCTCATTTAGAACAGAGAAAGTTGTTTACGGGTGTTCCTGTATCAAGTGCATCAGGATCAGGTTCAAATAGTGACTTCAGCTTAAGGGAAGGGGGGTAGCATCCAGGAGTCAGGCATCATGTGATGGTGTATCCAGTGTTCATCTGGCATATTTCAGCTCAGGCCACATTCTACCAACAAGTCAAAGCACACAAGAGACTGACTCTTTGTGACAGCAGGCTAATGCTCTGAAGAGTTTCCTCTGTTCCTCCAGCATATCAACATTCAAGGGGATCTTTGAGCTGGTAATAATGTCAGCACCAGTCTAGTCTGCATCATAACATGGAAATATATAAGAACACTAAGAGTCACAGTTTTTCACTGCCAACAGAGTAGGTGTGAGAGCTGAATGCTGGAGGAAATTAGAAAAATCCAAGACAAAAGTGTTTGAAGACCAAAACCAGAAACAAAAAGAAAAGGGTGGACTGCAATGTTTATCAATGAGCATGCCCACCTGTATGACCGCACTGAACCAGCAGGTATTGCCGACATTTTTCAGCCCAACAGGGCAGCCATCTATCCTCTTCCTGTCATGTGGGTTGGGCGAATCGCTCCACACTTCTGTGTGGGTGCGCTTCAGACTCGCCTTGTTCTCTGCAATGCTGGCCTCCAGCACTCTAAAACAAAAGAGAAAACTGCATGAGGTAAAATAAATCAAAGCCAGTCAATACTTTTGCCAACCAAATTATCTCAGCACTGTTATCGAGAACTCTCCAAAACACATGAAAGGGTCTGGCTGCAAAAACAGCTCAACCTTTTCTTTTGTTTCAACGTTCATTTCATTTTAATCAGGCAATGAAAACAAACTGCAGAGAGAGAGAAAGAGACATGACCATCTGTGAACTTTACAGAGTAAGTCTAACAATGACCTTTACTGTTATTTGTTCAATAGTGTTCTCAAAAGACAAAGTTTCTGCAAAACTTTTGATGGAAATAAATGCAGAGATTTAAACAAAAACACAGAGAAGTGTCCTTTAAAAAAATCATTTTTTTCGGCTCAAAGGTTTGTCGAGTGGCTTGTTTCTTTTCTTTGTTTTGAGGTTTTGATTTGATCAGTAGGAAGAATGTTTTAACCTGGAGCAGATAATCTTCAGTTTTCCTCTCTTCTAAAACAAAGAGACCAAGTAACCAAATGAAACCCTTGAATGAGGGAATTTTCCTTTAAAGTTCAGCATTTCTTAACTATGAAAGACCCTTTTAACCCCACTCTAATCAGATGCTCTGCCACAACTGTCTGATCTGATGCAGATATTCACCTTAAAAGTCAGTCTGATATGTTTTGGACAAAGTCAAATTACAGCTTTCTTCTTGGGTTCAATGACTACACAGATAGGATGGTTCTAATCTGCTCCAGAGAAGATTCTTCAGTTTGTTTGAGATGTTGTAACATCAATGCACACTGTGTCGAATCACAGCTGTACACAGTGTAACACTGTTCCTTTTACCTCATGTATGACCCTGACAGCAGACTGGCAGCTACAGAGTGCTCACAAACACCAAACAGCAGCCAAGCTTTAACGCTGGCCTGATGTCAAGTAACTCAGAAAAAGAGCCTTAATCAGCTAAAGCTGAAATGATCTGATGTTTGTTTTTTATGATGTGAAAGTGACAGATGGCAGTTGCCTTGAATGAAAGAGAAGAAGGTAACACAGATCCACTAGTCAGAATAAAGGAATTTGGACCCTCAATACTTCTAAACTTTGGTTTGTTAACTATCACTTCCCGGTAAAGCGTATATACATGTGTAATTTTTTAATTGCATGCTTGCAAATTGGGTGAGATGAAAGTTAGAATTCCCTGCCATTGGGCTGGTGTAATTATAAATGATTGAAAACAAATCAAATGGGTGTTTCAGTGAAGTTTATGTTGTAACATGTCCCTCCATCTGTTCAATCGTTCACTGTAGTCTCTCTACGTCTCACGAATCACGCTTCTGTGCAATATGGTTCTAAGAGTGTGAGTTTCCCCTTTAAGATTCTTATTTAATAAGGACTTGGTCTCAGTCAACATAGTGGAGCACAGAAAACATGATCAGAACTTTACTGACTTTGAGGCAGAGTTTAGGGTTAGCCTTTTTTCTGCCTGCCAGGAAGATTTCCAGGATTCCAGGCTAAGAGGACGACTTACAGACACAAGCTCTGAGTGGCCATATATGTTATCAATCTACATTAACCAGTAATAAAACACACAACTACTGTGATCAAACACATTAAATTTAAATTAGTCAGTTAATTGACCAATGACATCGTTATTATAACCATAAACTAAGATAAAGTGCCTCATACTGCACAAAAGGGAGAAAAAGGAAATCTCTGTGTACTTTCAAGTATTTAGGGTCATGAAGCTGTCTAATGATTTAGTAGTATGTTTCATTTGAAAATATGATACTTATGCTATGACATTCAGTATCTAGTAGGAGGGAAAGAAAATGTGTTGTTTTCAGTGCTGTATCAATCTCAAAGCAAGCACAGTCAGCAGATTCCTCCTTGTTCTTCCTGGAAGTCAGTCAGTGTGGTGTTAATTTCTCTAAATGTCATCCTGATCATGTAATGCTCCCTTTAAAATGGTGATATTTTCACTGTTTTTCCTGGAATTCTTTTGTTGAAGCTGGTTTTGTTGAGCAAATCTGACATCTAGACACCTTTAGAGTCTGACTGTTTTCTCTCTACCTCTACCTTCTCTATGTTAGTATGACATGTGGAGTACCAGTAAAAATAAAAACACCAAGTCCACCTCTTCCAACCATGCCAGGGCTGAGGAAGTGTACAGAGTACTCACGCTGGTCAAACAACTGGACTTTAAGGGCAAAACTCACTTGAGTATGGGAGGGATTGCCCAGTGTGAGTGCACCTTAAGAGTTTGTCCATCTCAAGTTTTGACCTGAGGGTAGATTTGTCTCCAAACTAGACAGTCAGAACAGGTACAACACTTGATAAAAAGTTACTTTTCTGACTTGAGTTCAGCCCAAAACCGAAAAGGGCAGCAGAGAAAAGACCAAACTGTAATCAGCTTAATCTTATCCAATACTGACCCATAAAAAATGTCTGGTTCAGAGTCAGACCAATCCGTAGGTTCAGCTCAGGACATCCCTAATTACTTTAAAGGGCCTGTGTTTTCTTATTATTCACTTCAGCTCAGCTTTCAACATTACACAACACCAATGCAAACAAGATATGTTTTCACCCACCCAAGGCCAGTGCTTGTAGGTGGTGCTGTTAAGTGTGGGTATGCATCCAAGGATTGGGTGAATGTAGGTGTTTGAAGTGTTTGGTTAGAGTTTGCGTCCAGAATTTCTTGGCATGTTTCGTTGTTCTCAGTCAGTGATGTGTTGTTGAGCCCACCTGCTGATGGCCTGCTCCTCATCCGTGATGCCCGTCTCCCTGAACGCCCGGTTAGACTCCTCCAGGCTGAGGGCGATCGCTCTCTGCAGATCATCTTTATCGTCTCCAGTCAGATCAATTACATCTGCATTATGAAAACACACGCAAATACATCAGTGTAAACAGATCTTATCTTTGAGGTTTATACTCAGTTAACCTCAGTATTCAAGAACCAGATAAAGTTCTTGTATCTTCAGAAGCTGAAAATGTGAACTCTTCACATATTTGTTTGACTAACTGACAGCCTGATAGTCAAAATACCCTCTTTTTTGTATATTCTATCCTGACAAATCAATCCATTTTCTAAACTGAGGAGATTTTTGATCAATAAATAATTGAAGTACAATTTTAATTCAATCAATGGTAGGACGCTGTGTAAAATGTTAACAGAAACTCTTAGTTTTCAAATCAACTCAAAACTGAATATATATAGAAATAGTGCAAGAAAATGGCATTGACTACAAAAAAGGATTAGGGACACATGAAGAGAAAAAAAAGAATAATAACGGGAAGGAGATTAAAGCCGAAATTTCCAGATTAAAGTCTAAATTTGGAGATTAAAAAAATCAAAAGTATGTCAACAAAGTTAAAATTTCGAGATTTAAAATTGAAATTTCGAGATTAAAGTCAAAATTTCGAGATTACATAATATTGAAATTTTGACATTAAAAAATGTTACATTTGAGATTAAAGAAGAAATTGACTATATTCCTGTAATTTCTTATTTTTTTTATATTGTAATTTTGACTGTCACGTCGAAATTTTATTTTTTTTCATTTCAACTTTTTAATATTTCGACATTAATTTCAAAATTTTGACTTAAATCTCGAAATGGAAATAAAAAAAAAGTCATTATTTTTTTTCTCTTCTTGTGGCCCTAATCCTCTTTCGAACACTGACCCATGAAATCATGTTTGTGCTTCATTTATACGAGCAACCTTTTCCAGAAAAAATGAAACACTGAAAAGTGTGTAATGCCAAAAAACACCTGAAGAAATATCTCCTCACTGATGACGTTACTTTTCAACTAGTTGGTGACATAACTGGGTACAAAAAAAGGGCATCTGAGTCTCTCAACGGTAAAGATGAAGAGTTTCAGCCCTTTGTAAGAGACTGTCTGTGTAAATAGTTCAACAATTTCACAATCATGTTACTCAGCACTGATTACAATGTTTTGTGTAATTCCAATTCCAGATTTTTAAGGTCAAGTGTCTTTATACATGATAAGAAAACTTAATTTTTCAAGTCATCTATTTAAAGACAGTCGACTGTCTGTGGTCTCCATGTTCAAAGTTGAGGTGCTCTGCTCACTTGTGTCTGCCTGGCTGCCCACACTGATGTATCTGTCACTGGCCACCTGGGATGTCTGGTAGTAGGTTGTCTCATCTTGCTGAGGAACCTTGGCATTCTTCTCCGTCAGAAACGCCACAGCCTCAGCCAGGTCTCCATTGCTCACCTGCCAAAAACAATGTGTTTGTTAGGGCTTATGTCTGCTGGGTATAAACACACACACACACACACACACACACACACACACACACACACACACACACACACACACACACACACAGGGATATAATTAGCAAAAACAAACTTTACTGGAAGTGAGTTTCAGGTAAGGCTCTTCTAAGCTTTGGTTTCTTGGTAAGACCTTGGCTGCTGTTTCAAATAACCAACAGTAACATTTGTAATATAAAGGTCACAGTGAGTGAGATTTATTAAGTTCAACTATGACTTTAATAGCATGCTGGCCTTATGTAAGAGGGCTGGACATCGTATAATGCAGCCCTCATTTATACTTTTCGAAACTGCATACCCCCAAAATATGCTGTTTAAGTATCATCTCTGACACTATATATGTGTGTGTGTGTGTGTGTGTGTGTGTGTGTGTGTGTGTGTGTGTGTGTGTGTGTGTGTGTGTGTGTGTGTGTGTGTGTGTGTGTGTGTGTGTGTGTGTGAGTTTGGTTTCTAACTCATGCAGCTTCATGGTGTACCTGCAGGGCTTGCTGAAGCAGCTGAACGTCTGTGGTTCCTGTAACTTCCCTCAACTGGTTTAGTAGTGTCTGCTGGTGCTGCAAGAGGAAAGAAGACCAGCAGAGGTTAGAGTTCATTAAGCACTTCAGCGCAGAGCATGATGGAGGGCAAGGTTCTCACTAATACACGATCAAATACACACAATAGTTAAGGTACAAGGCAAACTTTTCAACTTAGTCAAGAACTAAATTCTCCAAAACCGGACACTCTAACAATGACATTAAAATATTAATCCAATCATCATACCCGTCTGCCTCTGATAGGCTAATAAAGCGATCGGATTCATGCTCGGATCTTGCTACGGGTTCGTGAGTAAACAATGATGGAGGCAGAGAGCACCTTCGGAGGAGAAGCATCCAGCGGGGTGAACAACCTCTTCATATTGAGTGATTTGGCTCACACTATCTGCGTTTTCTGTGAGTGTTGCATGACTTTGGGTGAGCACAGAGATGAACACACTGTCAGCCAGTTATTTAGTTTTTAGAGCTGCTTTTGTACTGGCATTATACTAGGGCAGCTGCATACACTTTCAACACTTTATTTTTAAATTTACATTTGTATTGAATGGACACTTTATCATGACTGCCACTTGTTTTACAGAAAGCAAATAGTTTGTTATTCTCCAGTGCAGAGCCTTTACTTTTATTTATACTGCTGCTTTATATCATTTGAGTTTGTTCAAGGTTTTCAATAATGTGATGAAGGTTCAGATAAATAAAAGATAGTTTTCTTGAAAGCCACACCTGTACGCTTTCAAATCTGTTTTGAATTTTGTTTCTATCTGTGACAGAGGCTGAGATATCAGCTTTTTTGTAAACCTCAACACTTCAGAAAACCTCAAGGTCTGGGGGCCCTTCTCAAAATTGCCCTCAGGATTTCAGAGGCGTGTCTCAGACAGGGTTTAGGTCTTAATGGGTTTAAACAACCCTAAAAAACTAAACCATATATGAACCGTGATCCTTGTTTTTATGATCTGTGATCTCTCCTGAAACTATGAAATTTGAGGTCTGTTGTATGAACACTGAGAGGGATGAAAAAAATTTTAAAAAACTACTGCATTATTCTCCAAAGAGACTCCAAACACAGGAAACTCTGACCTCTATCAGTCTCAACAGAGTTAAACTGAACGGTTATAAATTCCAATCTTATCATATCCAACCCAGACTAACATCCCTGCTTGTAAATTCCCTACAGTCTTGAAAAGCTTCTGATGTCAACCCCACCTGGACTGTAGTAGAGCCTAACCACACTTCACCTGCAGTGCACAGCTTGAATAAATGCTCTATATATAAAGAGAGAGCACTCAGTGTCAGCATCTGAAGCTGAAGGCTTCAGCCTTGAGTGGGAGGGACTCAGACTTCTTTCTGACTGTTTAAAGGCTGCAGCAGCCAGCAGATACCAGTGCCGGTTGTAACAGGGACCTTACTGCATGTCTGTTTCTTACACAGCAGATTGATTGGTCATCACACCCATGAGAATACTAACCCTCATCTAAGTGAAGTGCATGTACGAATATTTTTGATGCAGTTGCTATAGTTGCTACACATAAAAAAATGAAGGCCTGTGACACAAACTCCAAACACTGACACAGGCTTTTATTGGAGAGGATTTGTGCTGAAATCTTGAAATCTCTTACATGTTTGTAAGATATTCTCTTACAGCATGGCCTGAAACTTGATTTTACAGTGATGAAATAAAAGACTCTTTTTTACCTTGTCAAATCTATTATTTGCTGTGTCAGGGTTACTAAGTAAGAGGGTTGGAAACTTTTTTGATCAACACTCAAATGACACTGTAACACTATAATGGTAGCTTACTGGCATGGAAAGCCAGTGGTGCCAGCACGTCTGCAAATGTATCATCCAAGAGTATTATTTTCTAATTTTACCATTTTGATGTCAAAATTTTAGCTCCTAAAGAGTAAAGGAAAGATGCGGTAAACTTAAGTAAACTTTTGATGACATCCCTGTTTAATTAAATCAAACAATCACACTAAAAATATCGCTGAAATTAATTCTAGGTCAGATTTGGTTATGATAAAACAGGACAACAGGATTGATGTACAGGTCAGTTATGTCAGAACTGAAGGAAGCTGTTGTTTATGAGCATGAGCGTATTACAGACACCTGTAAACCTGAAACTCATCAACCAAAAAACAAAGCTTTGAGTCATTAAAAAAATCGAGTAATGCACACTGTCTCTGTTGCTCTCTGTCTTCTCCAGAATACACAGCATTAACTCTTCCTGTATGGCTAAAATGGTTCAGTGATTGAGAAGATAGCATTTTCCTTACTAAGAGGAATGAGATGGCTTTAAGGGTCTGGATGACACTGTAACATTGTAAGGATGAAATATGATGACCTGCATCTCCACAAGGCGGCAGTATCTGCAAGGAGGGCATGTCGGTGCTCAGAGAGACATACCCCAGTCAGTGTTTCACAATTAAACAGCTTGAGTTGCTACTTCCATTTAAACAAGAGAAAAGCAATGCCTCTACCTCAACATGTCCACCAGTGAGGACAACAGGGACAATGACTTGTGTGCAAAAGATGTCATGCAAGGGAGGAAGCACTCAATCCTAGCCTAGCCCCTCAGGCATAAAACACTAAAAACAGGACATTGGTCTAGCCTGCAGGTAGGATATGGATGAGCTGTTTAGTTTGATTTTACATGTTATGTAATATCAGCATGTCAGGCTTCTGTCGATATCAGACCAATTCTACATCCTAAATAATACGACAGGCATATTAAAACATGCTACTTCCATAGCAACCACCATACTTAGTTGCAGTTGTTTGGGGGGGTTGTTTGTGCTCAGTAGTACAATTAAACAGCCTCAGGCTTCTAACTGATAATACTTCTCACTTTTTAATATGGTGGCTCTGTAGCATCAGAAAACATCGCTGGTAACTGAGGCACCCTTACATTTGAATGTGGCCAAAATAACTGTGACCTTAGCAAACACTGGGCCCCTGGATACCAAAAAGTGTTATTGGGTTGCTTGAGAAACATCCGAGAGGAACTGGCATGTTGGCAGGATCACTGTTACTTAACTATGAAATTCAAACATGCCCAACCCTTGAAAATATCTTGCTTCTGATCTATTGAGCATCAAGTGTCAAAACGAAACTGTTTAAGTTTCATGTGTCATTTGGTATCAAGTATTGTAATACTAACCACAGAACAGTCCAAATTTTGATGATGTTACAACACGACAAACAAAAGTTCCTTTGTGTCCTTTCCAAACAAAAGCGCATTTGTCACCAAAACTTTTAGTAAGTTACAAGCAACTAACTCAAGGGTGAGGAGGTAATGAAGTAATGAGCATAAATTTTCTTCCTTAAGCTGCAGAACTCCACTGAACTCGTGATCGGCTCGTCATGGCTTCCCCGCAAACAAGCAGCTGCTGGAAGAGAGTGGGTGAGTTGTGTTTAGTCTCTTTGCTAAAGAATCCATGCAAAGCTAAAAAGATGTCTGATGGCTAGTGTTATAACTGGGACTCTGTATGAACTGTTGATGAAGTTAGGCGCTTTTCTGAGCAGTATTTATGGCTATAGAGTGGCTTTTTGGTTGAGGTTTGCGCATAGAGATGTAGACAGCTGTGTACTGCTATTGTGCGGTCTTTGCTGAAGTTGGTGTCACTAGAGAAGCAAGCGGTTGGCAACATTAATCTCTCGAGGGGGTGTTTAACTCTGTGTTACAGTGTGTTTGACCATGGCTTAAACCTACTCCAGAATATCCTTTTAAACTTAAGTTAGTAAAAAAGAAAAAAAAATATTTGTAAACCAAGCAGTGTGGTTCTTATTGCATCATGAGTTGAGTGCATTGTCATGTCTCCAATTAAAAGGTCAATCTACTTCTAAAAGAAAACGCACCATACAGACAGCTGTAAAGATAAACAGGAAAACATCCGATTCAAATATCGCATATTTAGCTGAATTTTGTCAGTATCTCAGGTTCTGTAAAAATGCAATTAGCATTAGCATAAAAACTGTGCACCAATATCTCAATCTAGACATCAGAAAGGCATTTTTTTCTTGAAGTTTAGCACTCATTTGTTGTAGCCCCAAGGGAGCTTTTCTTTACCTGTCTTCAGACACGACACTAGTCTTGCTTTCAGCTACGAGTTCTTATGAGAGCTTTTGACTAAAACTACTGAACTAAACCCCAGGGGCCAAAGTGTCAGTGCGGTACGTGTTAAGAAAGTTCACAGCTTTGTTGGAGTAGCAGCTCATAAATAATGCACTGACTGCACCCAATTTGTCTGTGACCACGCGCCCGGTTTACGAGGCAAGGATACCCGACTCAGTAGGGGGCATGTCAGGTCACTGCAGCTGGCTGGTAAATGTCAGCGTGACTCTGCGTACTATGACTTACTTGACGTGTCAGTTTGAGAAAATGGCGAACATTACAGAAGACATCAAGGCTGATTATTGCAGAAATGCACCATCTAAAATTATATTACAATATTACAAGGCCTGATTTACACTTTTACCTCAAGTTTAGCAACAGTTAATAAAAAAAATACTAAACTGAAGAAAATATAACAAGTTGAATCAGTTATCATGGCAACCAGTATTTGATGTGAGGATATCCTGAAGAGAGAATTGTAAGTCACACACTCGCAACAGTTTTACACCTCGCCATGTTTCACCCACTGCAGACAAGTAAACAAGAAGATGGCAGAGTGTGTGAGTCACTGACAGAGACTGACGGATACAGGTTTGTTGGCACAGAGAGTGGCCTGGTTGGTGAAGTGTGAGGGAAATTACACCTCTGACAGATTTAGGCCAAGTCAACCACAAGGGCAGTTACTCAGATATGTGGGCACACGGGCACACACACACACACACACACACACACACACACAAATCCCATCTCCATGTGACATGCCTGGCATGGCTGTTTGTCACACTGGTCATCAGCCATTAAAAGGCAGCTTGTGAATAACACCACATAATTCTCTGCATGAGGTTTTACAGCCGACTGCAGATGGGGGCATTCCCAGCGAATCTGCTGTCTGGTCCTCACTGCAGTGCTGTTTAGTATGTGCATGTGAGGGAGCTGCAAACAAAAACAAATAGCTCCACTGGGATTAATAGCTCCTCAAACATGACCTCATTTCACTCTCTTCAGGTCACAGCATGAAAACCGGCACCACACCCTGCTATCACGAGTCTCTCTAATGATGGAGTACTACTCTGATGACTGTAATTAAATCCCAATAGATACTGATGCACCATCAGGACGCATCAAACTTTGACAGATATGTATGTTGCTCTATAGATAGGTAACCTAAAGAAAGTTCACGCTGGGTAAAACAAAGATCTCAAAGAGGTGAGATAAAACTACCATGGCAGATTGAGTCTGCTTCATCGTCCATGAAAGCAACACTGTGGTAATGCATCAATGAGGTATCTAAAAGGATACAAAAATAGCAAAGGTATTAGTTTCATTACCGTCAAGAAAATCCTGCACAAGCCATATGATAAAGGTCTACAAGAAGCCGTGTTTTCTTAGATCTTGTGTCTCTGTGGTTGCATCTCTTTTACAGCGTATTGCTTCTGTTCACTCTTGATTCAGGACATGGCATTAGACAAAATTTATGGGAGTGTCAACATCATCTAACAGCTAATAGTCAGGTGGGAAATAAAGAGATAAAACAAACAGAGCACCACACACCAAGTGAGCTGATCGCTAGAAAAACAAACATTTTCGGGGACAAGATTTAAGGTTCTGACCAAATGCAGCTCCGTACCTGAACATGGATTTGCAAACCTTGTACAAACATCACAGTAAGCACCCAACAATGAGGGCACATGGTGCACACTCACCACACAGGAGCTACTTGTATGAGACGTCAGTTTTGTCATTATTCTTGCCCTCCATCCCTTTTCATCTCCTACATATCTGTCCATTTACTTCCTTTTTGTAAAGCACCCGCAGTATTGTCCCCAAGGAGGTCAAGCGGCACTCCAAGGTTTGTGCTATGCTGCTTCTTCAACATTTGAGTCATCAGAGGGGTATTTATTGTTGCCTCTGCTGCAGGCCTTAAGCAGTTAGAGACACGTGTTCTCAGCTACGTGAACCATGTCAGATCTGGCTCAAAACAGTGAGGCCATGCTGTACAAAGACACAGCACTGCATGCAGTTGATACAACATAACTGTGATTACATAACTCTTATGCAAAGTACTCTTTTTCTTCATTCATACTAGCAGAGCAAACATATAACCCACGGTTTAGCAGCATCAGTAAAGTGGTTACATAACCTACCAGGGCCGTGCAATACTGAGCATGGTGGTCAGAGTAAATCTCATAACAACCAAGCTTAGAACAGACGTAAACTGAGAGTGTGAGCAGATATAACCTAGTGATCTGCTTTCACCGTTACGACCCATCGCATACTTGGCTTGCTGACTGGATAACGTTACTGAATCTACGCCAAGCACAGAGGCTCGGCTATGATTTTCCTCTGGTCATACTTTGTCAACAAACATATCACATACTATATCTGAGTAGCAAGGGAACATCTGAGCTCACAAATATGATCAGAAATGGTGACAAACAACATAAAAAAGTCTCAGGCAAAGTGCTTAGTTAAGCCAAAAAAAGTACCTACTCAAAACTATGACAACTCATTTCCAGAAAGTTTGGACACTGCATAAGACACAAATAGAAACAGGATGTTCTGATTTGCCAAATGCTGAAGCCCCATATTCCATTGAGAATCGCACGTCTCTCCATACACACCATATCACAGACTGAAACTGAGAAATTGTATCGACTTTGGGAAAACTAATGCTCATTTTGAATATGAGGCCTGCATCACCCCTCCAAAAAGGTTGAAACAAGGTCATGTTTCCCACTCTGTTGCATCACCTCTTCTCGTAACAACACCCTGAAAATGTCTAGGGGCTGAGGAGACCAACTACTATCACTCTTGATGATTTTCTTTTTCTTACTTGAAAAAAGATTTTAGCTCCCCAACAGCTTTGGTTCGCTTTTGTTAGATGTTAGATTTCATTAAAGCACAAACTTTTAAGCAATTTCCCCCTAGGGATTATTGAAGTACTTCTAATTCTAAAATATTCATAGTAAGTGACGAGTAGTAACTGCAGGCAGACCAGTTTAGCACCTTTACTTTTCAAGGTGAAGCTCTAGCTTGCATTTGTGGATGCAGAAAAATCACCTTCAAACAACAACAAAAAAAAAAATTTTTGGTGGTGATTTTTAGCCCATGCAGTGATTTCCACAACAAAGTCACATCTTTTTTTAAACGCTGTGCTAATAAGGAGCCCGGAAATCACAGCCATCCAATATTGGTTTCAGCTCTGTCCCTTGTGCACAGAGATTTGTCTCGGTTCAATTAATGTGTGAATAATAAAATTTACAGTGGAAAGCAAAATAATACGAATAATAAATGGATATACCAGCACTAATTTTGGATTTGGGGATTCCTTACTTTTCAAACTGTTGCTGGAGGTCATAGAAACAAGCTCTCGATACAATTCTTACTTGGAGGAAATAGATTATTCTTTAAACTCTTCAACTATTTTCCAGCTCATTCTTCCACTTTATTTTACAAAGACTCGACCTACATTTTACCTAGTCTTGTTTAATAACACTGCAGTTAGCATCTTATAAGCAGCTGCTGATAAAGCTGTTATAGGAAACCCGAAATCCTTAAACTAGGACTTGTCAGATCTGGATTAGTTTATCAGATAGACCCCACAGTTTTGTTAGACTTTTATTTTATAAGATAAACACAAAAGTGATTTCCTTTTTTTCCCCTCAAGACTATATTGGTCTATACAAGTCCTGATCCAGAGCCTCAATACCCAGGCCCCGATAATTTTTGGCCAAAGTCTCCCTAGGGAGGCAGTGGAACCTTTGTTCTGCAATTAAAAAAAAAAAAAAAGTTATTTCATTCTTTTTTTCTATCTTCCTCACTAGACTCTCATTCCTAATCCAGGATCTCAATATCTGGACATTTCAAATCTAGATTAGATTATCCAAGAGAGGCTGCAGGCTCGAGATAAAACAGATAAGAAATTTTCTGTCAGAAAGAAAAAGAAAAAAAAAAAGTGTTGTAAGTCTGTAGCCTTTAAGAGAAAGTTGTGTGTAATCTTCTCCAGATAGGAAAACAGTCAATTTTTTTGCATTTTCACAAAAAGAATAACAGTTTCACAAATCTGAAGCCACACTGTAAAGACTATGTAGCCTCTCTAGAACATTTTAACTAAGATAAAATAAGCCTAGGTGTTGTGGTTCTTGATGATGACCTATACTTACATGAACTTAAGGTGCGGCAAAATCACAGCTTTCTGCATAGTTTAATTGAAAAATATGAGTTTTATACACCTGAAAGTGTGTTTTAAAAAGTCTGTAGTCTTTTCATCATAATGCAGTCCAGATCTGAAAAGTCTGAATGCGTTGGTGGTGCTGGATTAGGACCTTTTCCATTATCTCCCCCTGACCAGCTGAACTGGAAGCTGTGTATAAGACGCTGACTTCAGCATCTTTTATAATATCAACCTGTTGAGAGTTAACTTGATTTATTAGGAGATGGTGTGACATGTGTTTTCATTTTCCATTTCACAACTATTCCAGTCTACTGCACATACTTCTCTAAAACGTGTTGCTGGCATCAAATTCGCAGTGAGTATATTATTCCCTAAGATGATGCAGTTTCTAAGTTTATACACTGATGTGTCACCTTAAAGGTGTTTTAAATTACATAAGGAGTCTTTATTTTTCAAAGTCATCTCATCGTGGTCCTTACGTGCTCTACAGGGTCCCAGCAACAAACATGATGAACTCTCATCAGACAGTAAACACTCATCACACACACACACACACACACACACACACACTACTCCGGAGTTCACAACACTGACGGTAAATCTGTGACTGTCACTTCGCTTTATTTCTATTGACGACACACTGAGCCCATGATGCTAACGCTGCTAAAGGATCAACTGTCAATATTAATCAATACACGATCAGCTGTTGATTTCACTTAAGTCACAAACACATACCGCTCAGGTTTGACTAAACTTCACGCAGCACCGTTAGCTAACGTCGGCTAACTGCTAGCAAAATATTGAATAACGCTTCACGTTAGCATAACGTCGGGCCTGACGCAAATAAATTTGCTTACTTTTACAAACCTCACTCGCAAAAGAATGGCCAATTAGCCCCTAAGAATCAACATTCTGAGACAAACCTAACTAAAGACAGAGTGGGATAGTCCACCCTTTAAGTACTTCGCATCCCCAAAAGTATGTAGCTCTCCGGGCTAAAGTTAGCTAGCCCCCGAGTTAGCTTCTGTCAGCTTACCTTCTGAGAGTGCTGCTGGAGGACATTCTGCTCCACGGTCATGGCGGGTTCAAAAAGAAATGTGACTTTACTGAAATCTGTGTTTGCAAAATGCAGGAGATAGTTTTCAGCTGAGCAAATTCAAACACTGCTGATGCTATGACGTCCCCTCCTTAATCAGCGACATTACGGGCGCCATGGCAGAGTGGCTCGCGCAGGTCGTCAGCAGGAATGAAAACATTGCTCTTGCCTGGCTTCAGATCTGGGATCGATTACTCACGTCTCACGAAGCTGCATTTACGTCATGGACCACAAGAAAACCCACGGATGTATCTTGTACATGAACTAGCATGGCATGTGTTTATAACGCCCTTAATTGTAAATTTCACACAAAGTAAGATAAGTTAATCTTAAAATCTTTAACATTCACACGTGGAGTGACTATTTTCATTTTAGCAGTCATTGTGATGCACTGCACCTTTTATAACACTGAACCACATGCAGTTGTTCTTCTATTTTGCCAGATTTCTTTGACATTTAATGTAAAAAAAAGGAAAGATGTTTACAACAAAACTGGCCAATCTAACTATTTACCACCAAGATATCACCCCTAATTTTAGATTTAAAAAAAAAGGCCTTTGATATCCTTTGGTGTATTATTTTCAGTTTTTTTTATGCAACTTTACATTAACCTTTCATGTAAGTTGTGTGAGAATATATATATATATATATATGTTATGCTTTAAAGCTTGAATTTTGCTTTAGATGTGCTGGGTGCTCGTTAAAATAAAAAAGAAAATCTGTGTTCAACGATCAACCCTTTCATTTTACTGGCAAAAGTATAAGCTTTTTGATTTTAATCCAGTAGGCTATTTCAAATCTCTTCTTTTCTATGGATAACTTGTTTGATTTCCCTATTTTTTTTATTTTCAAAAAAGGACAACAGATAAATAAGTGTGTACCTATCAACATCTATCCTGTTTATACGTAAATTTAAAGATATTAACGGTATAAAGATGGTGCTTGTCTTTTTTGTGGTAACACTGCTCTTGTGAGTGTATCAAACAGCACAGTATTGCCTGGAATGGTCCTGTCGATGTTTGTTATTATAATAAAAAAAAATATTTATATCCAAAGTATGAAGTGAACATATTTATTATATTTTATAAAGGAAATTTTAGATTCAAACAAATTGTTTTAGGCGTTTTTTTTTTTTTCCTTTTTTTGTTAATGTATTTCACCAATGAATATATAAAAAGCTGAGGGTCTGTAAAAAAAAATACAGAAATTGATCAGGTGCAAGGACTTCAGTTCTTACTGATATGTACAATGCTGGTCTGACACCAAATGGACTTTTTTTCCAATCATTACTGTTTTCGTGAAAGACTGTTCTTTGTTTATATGCATCTCTTCACCAGATCACCAAGAATTTAGAAACTTAATACTTTTTGTTGATGAAAATTCTTTTGTTAGAAATTCTACAATGATTTTCAATTGCTGTATATTTTAAGGACCAGAAGCCGCAGATAGAGTAAACTGTTTTGTAGCATTTTACTTTTTTCAGTGTAGCTGAACACTTTTATTGCAGTACAGATATATATTTTTGTAGTTACCTCTTCTAATCCTTGAGTTGATTTTATCTGTCATATTTCTCATTGAATGCACAATGCTGAAAATACTGATTTGGCTGCATTTTGTAAAATGTGTACCCTTTGTGTTGTCATGGACTGTAAATGCTTAATCAGAGAAAACTACATTTCACAAAGTTGAGTAAAAGAGAGGAATAATGGGTCTTAAATAGTTTTTTTTTTTTTTCTCACAGTTTTATCTAAAAGTAGGCCTTTGAAATTTTGTGCCTTTAAATAATAATTAGGCATCTGCTTTGGGGTTGATATCTGTCAGATGTCCTTTAATTTCACATGTGAAGTAAACTCGGTTATCAGACTACTTATAGCCTTTTTGCCCCTCACTACAATTTTTGACTGTTGTTGTTAAATTTTAATTTTGATTGAGCCGAGTAACAGCTCAGGTGAGCTTAGGCATGTACTGTCAGTAATTTTAAAATAAACGGCTCATAAGTTGCCCCCATTGTTTCTTCAACAATTTTTATAGTAAATCAAGGCCTATCATTTGTCCTCTAGGGGGCGCTAAAACAACATAACAATCTTGTGGCGCTTCCACATTTCTGTCACTGAACAGGTTCACAATGTCCACTGTACAAAACAGGAGCAAAGTGAGGAGATGAAAAATGCAGATCAGCTCAGAATTATTTAACAATCTCTCTGTCAGTCACCAGTGCCTGCTGTTTGTGAGTGGAGAAATGGAAAGCTAAACAACAAACTGCTCATCAAAGCACTTTTCACGTATTTGCACTCTATAAGAATATTTCCATTTACTGCTCTCCATTTCTGCACTCAGAGTTAATAAGACACAAAACTCCATAATTTTACTGTTAAGAAAACTTTTAATCCATTATTCAGACCTGAGAGTTTGATCATCCCTGACATTTGTTGATAGGCAAACCCATTAATCAAATATTTGTCATTTTACCTGATTAGATCCACAAATGAATGCATATAAACATATTTGTTTTGATAACAGATCTGTTGCAGTGATGCTTTGCCTGAAGCAAAACTTTCAAACTATTCAATAATAACAGAACAAAGATATGACAGTTATTTCCCAAAATCTGTCGGTAAGCTGTGAATGTAATGCCATTTCAAAGTAGACACAGGCTGCTGGAGGTCGTTTTGAACCATTTATAATATTATTAAATTTTGGTCCATTATATTTGAAAATAGACCCTGTACATTTTTTTATTATTATTATTTTTCTATCAGGGATTTTTCACTTTGAATTTGATTTGAAAAATGCATTTTTATTTTTTTTAAAGGACCCTCATTCAGATTTTGTGGTTAAATTCTTTCAGATCTGATGAGTCTCTAAAAATCACAGCACTGACAGCGCACTGACCCCCACAAAGTGGCCCAGATTAAAAACAAAACACAAAGTACTATTGACCTATTTCACATCAAATCAGGCTCATGTCCTCTTTATTTCAGAGCTGTAATTTCTTTTTCTTTGTCCTCTTTGGATTCTCACAGTCTCTTTTAAGTATGTTTGAAATCAGTCTGAAATCATCTGGATGGCACTTTTGAAAAAAAAAAGGAACCTTTATTGAAGATATACACAAAAACAATAAAGTCAGAGAAAAATACCTAAAAATAGTGCAAAAGAAAGTTTATTTTCCACTCACATGATATATTATCCTTAATTCTACAATAGGATGTTCTTTTGGTCAACAATGTTTTTTTTTTAAACATTTCACATGGTGGCTAGTTCTGCTAATGTCTTGGATATCTAAATTTGATGAGGACTACGTTTCACAGACTTGTTTTTGCACATCTGTTGACATTTTTAACTTTTGTCTTTATTTAACCAAAAAACCTGATCTATATTCAAAATTAAAGATACAGTGTGTAGTATTCAGTAGTAGTTGTTCGAATAAATGTGTAATCCCCAATCACTAATCAAATTTATCATGCACCACAAGAGCTTTATGTCTGTGACGGCCATAGTTGCCAAAGGAAGAGCAAGGAAGAGTTTCATTCAAGAATCTGACCTAAAATACAGCAAAGCATGCCTCTTTTTATTTGAACCATTGATTTTGGAAATTGTCAATTGACTCTTTCTCTCTGAGCCAGATTATGCTTTATTTCAACCATTTGAGCTCATTAAAAATCTGCCTTTATTCCTCTGAACCTCAAGTGCATGTGTCACAGCAGTCAGTATGTTTACATGCCCTTCTTTAATTTATTGCAATAGTCTGACTGAAACCAGACTTTAAAAAAACATGTAAACACACTAGTCTGACTAAAATCACACTGAAATTAAACTTCTCACAGCTGGACTGACATTCCTGGCACATATCCCAGTGTTTACATACCGGGCTCTGAGTCGGTGGTTGAATAGCATGGATGGTGGACCAGTTAGATCGCCTAATCGAGCTTTAACTGTAGCTCAACTTAACTGTGTGTGTTCCTGTCCCCCACTGTATGTGTCTGTCCACTGTATGTTACTTGGAAGGGATGAACTAGAAATTGGGAAAACAGCAATTGGTTAAACAGCAAAACTCCATAGTATGATTGCCAAAGGTAGCAAGAAACCTAAAACGTCTCATTTATGGTTCAAAACCTAGTTTTTTCTGCCAGTAGTATTGCCAGTGCCATCGAAAAAGTCATTTTACAGTCTGTGGTTTACATTTTGACATCAAGATCTGCAAAAATATTTATGGAGCTGACAAAAACAAGAACCAAAGTTAAAAATTTTGCATTTTAGGTACATCTTAGATCTTTAAGCTTGTCCCAGAAATGTCTTACTGTATACTGGGTAAAACTCAAACCATCACTGTGCCTGGTCACTCTTACTGCTGTGTAATAAAGAGGTGAGGTCCAAAATCAGGGTTTGATACCACTGTCTTATATCTGCCAATAGACACATACAGAGACTCATGATTCGGCCTACTTATTTAGACAGATCAAATAACAGAAACATCCAAACATTGGACATTGAAATGTGTCAGCTTTGATTAATTCAGAGCAAGTTGGAGGAGAAGAGTCTCTCTTTCTCTCTCTCTCTCTCTCTCTCTCTCTCTCTCTCTCTCTCTCTCTCTCTCTCTCTCTCTCTCTCTCTCTCTCTCCCTGTCAGAGAACTGGGTCATCCTTTAGATGTTCAGGAATAGCATTGTTGTAAGAGTTATAACTGAGGCAGTCAGCATGCTTTGTTAACATGAACTGTGTCATCTAACTAGTGCACATAAATATTAATGGAAATAATCAGGACTCTGGTGTTATGGGGAAGGGTTTAGGGTGGTGTGACACAGTAAAGGAATATCTCGTTAGGATTTAATTTCACTTTGCTATTTCATTATGAGAGAGATTGATGTTTTAATAAAATTGACAGACATTTGTATTCATTTGCACAAACATAAAGAAAGTAGATGTTAATAAATAGCTGTTCTACGGACATAAATCTGTATTTGGCACAAACATCAGCAATTTAGCTAGTTGTCATTCCTCTGCTGTCCAGCAGGTGGCAGCATCCTCCTTTGCAGCACCAGAAACCAAACACCAAATCAGCAGGAATGTGCAAAAAAAGGAAATGAATAATGAAATTGATTCCACTTGATACATGAAGTAGCGTTTTAAATCTTGAAGTTTGCTTCCAATTTTCAGCTTTGCACCTTAATCCATATGTGATATTTCTGCATGCTGAAGTATAGACCAGCACAGAGAGTGAAGCTTACCTCAAGCACCCACAGCACCTCTTTTAACGGCAGAGTCTCCACTCTGAGCAAACCCACCCCACTGCTGACCTGTAGGCTGCAGGGAGAGAGCGATCAGTCAGTCAGGAGATCTGTGCAGCTGTCAGCAAACCAATCAGAAAACAAGGGGATGAATCAATTGGGGAAGTCTGACAGGTTGATAGAAAGAGTTCAGGCTTGTTTGTCAAAGATCAAAACGTATCCTCAAAGTGAGCCTGAGGCTGAATGATAATAGCTTCACTCACACCAGGACACAACCCCCCCACCCCCCCTACCCCCACAACCTGCTCTCTGTCTGGTTCAGAAACCCAACACAGATAAAAGTAAATTCACACTTCTGTTGTTCTTCACTGTAAAGGTAAATGTCTCCAACAGTGAAGTTTTATCAGACAAGTGCTGCTCTGAACAAACAAGTTTCAAAAGGAAAAGGAAGGAAATGGTAACGGACAAGATAAAGTGCTTTACCATCACATGTCGCTGTCACTCATTCATACCACTTTCACGTAATGATGGTAGATAAAGCTCCCATCAGTATTAAATCTTCTGTGGGTTCATTGACTTTATGAAATAGACTGAAACTAACATTGATGATATATACACAAACAGACCATCAGTGATAAGATAAATTAATATTAAATCTTCATTTGATGCCTAGAAATTCCTAAAATCAGTGAATAAGGGCAAGTTTTAATCAAGTAGCTGAAGAAACAGCCCTATTTTTACATTTTCCACATTAAAAAATCATAACAAATGATAAATTTGACTGTCTTAAGCCAGAGGATTCAGGCTTTTTTTATCAGAAGACATTACTTCAGTGTTTAAAGAGCAAGATAAGCAATGCCTTCTTTGTCCACAGGGGGCGCCAAACTGATACAAATGAAAAATTCCTTAATCGAAGCTTTAAAAAATCTCATTCTCAAACCACAGGAAATGATATCGTACACATTGTGGTTCAGTGTTGTACACAAAGACACTTAAAATTTTGGGCTGCAAGAGCAGGAATCGAATCCCAAACCTCCTGATTGAAATGTGACCCACTTTACCACTGAGCAAAAGCCACCCCACTGACCTAAACGTTAGCTAAAGCCCCGTCTAAATGGAAACAAATTTAGGGGTAAACGCAAACTTTTTTTTTTTTTTTTGGATAGGCGTTTCATCCATATGAAAATGGCGTTTTGGGTGACTATAAACAATGCTTTCTGAAAACAGGTCTCAGAGTGCATAAATCTGTCAGCCTATCATTTCATTTCCGTGTGGATGTCTACCAGCTACTTTCTTGAAACAATTACATCTCACACAGAGTAACTCTCTTTAGGCACCAAAATAACCTTTATCAATGCTCCGTACTCTTCAACTGTCTTTTGAAGCATTCCCAGGGCAGTGTTTCGGCCACTTAGTGGCATATGCACTACATTGTTTTTGGTGGCTTTCAGTCGTTTGTGTTTAGACAGATATTTCCTGAAATGATCCTGTCTTTACTGAAAACTTTCTCAAAATGAAACAGCATATATTGTTTCCGTTCCCATGTGGAAAAGGTCAAAGACAGTAATCAAAGGTTGTTCTCTGCAGAATCATTTTGGAGCGAGTTTTTTGACGGAAAATCCCATCCTACTGAAATCTGATACACACTTGTCATTATTTTGTGAATAATTAAGGTGGAAAATGTTGAAACGGTGCTTTCTTTAGTGCAGCCTCACTTACAGTAGTTTTAGGTATTTGAAATACAGTACAAGAATGGATTTTAGTCTATTCCATAAGTGTTTAAAAATCCTTACAAGAGCTTTAATTATTAAATAAACCCATAAAAATGGTTGTCAATCAGTCCTTCAG